GGAAGTTGACACGGGGGGCGGGGGCACCTGTCCTGCCTTCCCCACCCACACACACAGCGCCTTCCTGAGGTTAATCACGGAATCTGCAAATTACAGGATGCCAGGCGCAGAGGCACCTGGGCAGGTGGCGACCGCCACACCTGCACCTGCGAGCTTCAAAGTTCTTCTTCGCCTTTTCGGAGACGCTTAGGATGGGAAAGAATAAGGCAGAAACTTCGGCCCTTCGAATGTGGGGTTAGCGACTCGGGGTGCTGAATTGGTAAAAACCATGGGAACAGTTAAAATGGTGGAATTGTTGAACGTGGGCTGGGAGCAGTGCAGGTCCTTAGCCCAACGCAGCGTCCGGGTGCTCGTGTGGAAGGAGCCGTCTAGATGTCGGGAATGCGCCTCTTCCCTGGGCGTGAGTCCCCGGAGCCTCCCTCTCCGTGCCGGTTCCTGTCTGAGGGTCCCAGCCCTGGGAGCGCGCTGGCGGCAGCACCTTGGCCCGTGGCCCCCTGGCTGATACCCGGGCGCTCCACAATCAGTCCTGTTTCCCATCCACGCGCACTGCTCACTCCCTGGAGACTCCCAGAGCCGGTCCCATCCTGACCTGGCCCACATGTCCTCCTCTGCACCCCCCCCCGCCCTTCCCTTCTCTCCTCCCCTCCCCCACTGCCACCTGCACCAGCCAGCCTCCTGCCCCTGAGCCACGGTCACAGCTCCCAGGTCACACATCCAACCCAAGCCTGCAAACCACCTGGAGCCTCACAGCTCAGCCCTGCCAGAAGCGTTGTCAAGGGAAACAGCCGAGGACCCCAGGACAGGCTCGCCCGGGCCCTGACCCACAGGAGGGGCTCAGGATCCCAGGGCACTCTGGGTCTGCCATGGCAAGGGGACAGCCAGTGTCAGAGAATGAGTGGGGGGGGGCGGGAACAGGCCACCCCTCGCCCCCCAGGGTTCCTCTGAAACTCCTCTCATGGCTGCCAACCCAAAATCACTTCCTTAGGGGCCGGCGCAGCGGGTTAAGCCACCACTTGACACGGGCATCCCACGTCAGAGTGCTGGTTTGAGTCCCGGCTGCTCCCCTTCTCATCCAGCTAATGCGCCTGGGGGGACAGCGACAGAGCCAGAACCAGGACCCGGACACCTGACTGCAGAGCCAGCTAGAAATTCACACCCGGCTGTGAGCACACCTGGCTGCCAGGTGTGAGTGCAAGGCGGTGCGGAACCAGAGAACGGGTGCACCTGGCCCGGAGGGGCCCCCGGGACCACTCCCTGAAGGAGGACGGTTACTTCTGCCACAGATGAAGGCCAGTGTGGGCGAGGTGGAGTGGCAGGGGCGGGGCGGGGCGGGACAGGAATGGGGGGGGCGTCTGTCATCTAGTCTGCGGGGGGGGGGTGGCTAAGATCTCTGCTCTGAGGGAAGTCAAGGAAAACCAGCAAGAAAAGGGTCTGTGCATTTATTGAGCGCTCACTGTTTTCCTGGTACTGTGCTAAGCGCTTGATTTCTGAAAGCATGACGGAGCCCAATGGCTCTGTCTCAATTCCAGCTCTGCTACGTGTTGGCTGTGTGACCTTGAGCAAGGCACTTCCCCTCTCTGATCCTGCTTCCTCCTCTATAGCTCAGTGGAGCGGAACCAAAGACCTCTTCCTTCCACCCTTGTGCGTCCTCCCGTCACAGGAGACAGACGCAGACAGACGCTTTGCTCAGGATTTCTGAGACGTGAGAGCCTTCACGAGGGAATGAGGCCCCAGAATGCTAAACCCGAGTGCTCTCGGGCTGCACCCGGGGAGGAGTGGGGAGCGTGGGCAAAGGCGAAAGCACAGATGGGAGGGGCTAACGGGGTCCATTTTCTGTGGCTCACACACAGCACCGCCCACTGGGAGGCTTCTTCCGGCTCTGGGTTCTGCAGGCCCGAGGGCAAGGGGCTGCACAGGACCACGGCAAGAGAGAGGGGACGCCTCTGTGTGTGTGCATATGTGTATGTGGTGTGTGGTGTGTGTGTGTGTGTGTATGTGTGCGCATTACGTGTGTGTTAGCATGTGTACATGGGTGTAGGACATGTGTGCGTGTATGCATGTGTGTCTGTCGGATCTCCCTTTTCTTATAAAGCCACTGTCTGAAAGGTAGAGAGGCGGAGAGAGAGAGAGAGAGAGACCTCTTGTCCCCTGCTCCACCACCCAAATAGCCACACTAGCCAGGGCTAGGCCAGGGCAAAGCCAGGAGCCTGGAGCTCCATCCAGGTCTCCCACGTGGGTGCAGGGGCCCAAGCATTTGGGCCATCTTCCGCTGCCTCCCCAGCAAGGGAAGCTGGTTTGGAGTGGAGCAGCAGGGACTCGAAGCGGCGCCCATGTGGGCTGCGGGCGTTGCCGGCTCCCCTCGGTGGCCCCCTGCCTTGGGAGGTAAGGATGCTGCCATCCTCTGGGGGCAGGGAGGGCACCGCCCCCGTGAGGCTCTGATGACCCCGTTCAAGGTCAGAGAGCCCCTCCCTTGGCTGTGGGGGCTCAAATGCCTTCAACTTGGAATATTCAATGCACCAGGGGCCCTATCTTGGGGGGTGGAATATTTTCAGATCAACAAGGATAATAACATAGGCTGATTCAAGCCAACTTGGACTGTTTTTTGATCTATAAAAATGGCAATTTCACATGTTATAACCCAAAAAACCCAGGTCCCTGGGAGGACTTGATTAATTAACCTGTCTGATGCCGGTGGCTCAGAGCCCTGCACACAGTAGGTGCTATGACACTGGGTTCTCTCTTGGCCCCCAGAGCAGACACCGGGCAGGGTACAAGTGGGGCCCCATGGGACTCGGCGACACGTTCTGCTGCTGGGGGTGGGGGTGGGGGCACCGCGTGACCTCGGAACCTTACATCTCAGCGCTTCAGGGCAGGGCCCCCCACTGGCTCCAACCCAGCATCGCAAGACCCCAGGACAGCAGCCTAAGAAATGCCCCCAGATTGTACTTCCTTGGGGTAAAACCCAGCCAGGTCTCACAGCCCCGAGAAGAAAACTTGGCAGGTGCTGGCGCTGTGGCACAAACCTCTGCCTGCAGTGCCAGCATCCTATATGGGTGCCAGTTCGAGTCCTGGCTGCTCCTCTTCCAATCCAGCTCTCTGCTGTGGCCTGGGAAAGCAGTAGAGGATGTGACCTGGAAGAAGCTCCTGGCTCCTGGCTTCAGATCATCCCAGCTCTGGCTGTTGGGGTCATCTGGGGAGTGAACCAGAGAATGGAAAACCAACCTCTCTCTCTCTCTGTCTTTCTCTCTCTCTTCCTCTCTGTAAGTCTGCCTTTCAAATAAATAAATAAATCTTTTTTAAAAATAAAGAAAATCTATAAGCAAATCATTGATTGATTTAGACTTGTGATTTTTTAAAAAGATTTATTTATTTACTTGAAAGTCAGAGTTACACAGAGAGAGAAGGAGAAGCAGAGAGAGAGAGAGGTCTCCCATCCTCTGGTTCATTCCCCAGATGGCTGCATCAGCTGGAGCTGCACCGATCTGAAACCAGGAGCTTCTTCCGGGTCTCCCACACGAATGCAGGGACCCAAGGACTTGGGCCATCCTCTACTGCCTTCCCAGGCCATAGCAGGGAGCTGAATTGGAAGTGGAGCAGCCGGGTCTCGAACCGGCGCCCATACAGGATGCCAGCACTGCAGGCAGCGGCCTTACCTGCTACACCACAGCGCCAGCCCCTAGACTTGTGATTTTTAAGCTGAGATCTTATTAAGTTTGTCAGCAACATCAAAACACTTGTGAGAATTCAAATTTCCATATTTTATGGGTGTAAGTTACCAGATTTCTAAGGGCAATTTAAGTGCTTGAGAAAGTTTTTATTATTATTACCAAAGCAACTGACGGGTTTTAAAATGAAGTAGGGGGCAGGCGTTTGGGCTGTTAAGGCCCCGTCCTGTATACTGAATTCCTGTCTCGGGGGAGCCTCGACTGCGTGTGTTTTCTCCAGGGTCCTCGGATGCCTTTGCCGCGGCACCTGCCACGCTCAGCCTGGCTCTAAAATGGGGATCTGGCGCCACCTGGTGGTCACCAGCTCTGCCACTTTTTCTTTGTGTTACTTGCTGGAGACCCCACTGGGACCCCACCAGCACGGTTCTGCTCTTCTCCAAGGTATTGATCAACTGTGCCAAGCTCCAGGCTCAACCCAGAAGAGACATTCACGGGCCAGGTGGCCACACTATCCTCAGCTAAAGCTCGGAGGCCCGAGCAGCGTTACCGATCCAACATGAGTCCACTGCCCGCACCCACGAGGCCAAACGCTGCAGCCTTCGGCAGAGAGAAAGCTGACCGTAGGCAGTTGAGCAAGGGGTCAGCAGTCTGACTTCCGGGGCGGGGGTCTGGGGCAAGCTGCGTGGGTGAGGGCAGACGTGGCCTTCGGAACGGCTGGTGACCGTGTTCTGAGTCACTCGCTGGGAAGGCAGGAACCTCACATGTGATGAGACCTGCTGTTCAGGCAGAACCCTCAGGAAAGAACAGGGAAGCAGAATGAGAGGTTTCTAAGTTTGGGGCTTTGGGGGGAACCTGGTAAAGGGAACTCCGACCCCTCCATCACCTCCTGCCATTTGAAACAAAACCAAACTGGCAATGCACACATCACCTGTTGTTAGGAAGAGTCGCGGAATAGAGAGGAGGCAGTGCACAAATCTACAGCCAGACCGAATTCATCCAGAGACAATCAATCCGCAGAGGTGGGTGACCCACTGCCCGCACGTGGCAGAAGGCCCTGACCCCCAGGTCCAGGCCTTTTTAAGGAGGGCTGGGGCTGGGGCTGGGGTGGGGGTAAAGGGCAGCAGGGAGAGGAATTCCAGGAACTGGGCGGGGACCTTGGGAACCTGGAAAATAATACAGGGTTGGGTATGAAGGCCAGAGGGTGTGAGACCCAACTGAGTGTCAAGGGCAAGGAACACGTTCCAAAGTTTGTCTCCTTTGGGCAATGAGGGACAATGGCTGAGGCTATGTCCTTGTTCCATCACCTGTGACTTCAAATTTTCTCAGATCCACATGTTTTACAAACTAAAATAGATGAAATTAATTTTAATATATATTAAGATTTATTTATTTATTTGAAAGGCACATTTGGAGAGAGGCGGGGAGAGAGACAGAGACAGAGAGCAGTCTTCCATCTGCTGGTTAACTCCCCAGTTGGCCACAACGTCCCGGGCTGGGCCAAGCCAAACTCAGGAGTCAGGAGCTCCATCCAGGTCTCCCATGTGGGTGCAGGAGCCCAAGCACTTGGGTCATCTTCCACTGCTTTCCCAGGCGCATCAGCAGGTAGCTGGATAGGAAGTGGAGCAGCCGGGACTCAAACCGGCGCCCATAGGGGATGCCAGCACGGCAGGCCAGGGCTTTAACCCACCGCACCACAGCGCCGACTCCTTAATATATTTTTTTTTCAGGCAGAGTGGACAGTGAGAGAGAGAGACAGAGAGAAAGGTCTTCCTTTTCTGTTGGTTCACCCCACAATGGCCGCTGCAGCCGGCGCACTGCGGCCGGCGCACCGTGCTGATCCCGAAGCCAGGAGCCAGGTGCTTCTCCTGGTCTCCCATGGGGTGCAGGGCCCAAGCACTTGGGCCATCCTCCACTGCCTTCCCGGGCCACAGCAGAGAGCTGGACTGAAAGGGGGCAACCGGGACAGAATCCGGCGCCCTGACCGGGGCTAGAACCCGAGGTGCCAGTGCCGCTAGGCGGAGGATTAGCCTAGTGAGCCGCGGCGCTGGCCTCCTTAATATATTTTTATTTAACTCATATATCCAAAATGTTATCATCTCAACACGCAGTCAATGTTTTTTAAGTTACTGTCTTCACTTCGTACCTGCTAAACCTGCTTGCATTCAGCTTCAGACTTGGAGCCCTGGGTGGCCATGGCCCCCGGGCCAGGACAGTGCAGCCCAGCTCCTGGGCGTGGCTTGGGAAGGATTCCCGTTTCCAGCCTGGCTTGACCATGAGAGATAGGATCGGGGCTGGGCTGAGAAGTAGGAAATGAAGGTGGGAACAGGACTCGCCCTGGGGCGGTAGCAAGGCCACCATCACCATCTCGTGACCAGCACAGACCTCTCGCTCGGGCGGCAGGAGGTGGCGGTGGCCCTGCATCCAAGCTGCGGCCCACTCGTGGGCACGGTCTGCGTGGTGCCGGGCCGGCGCTTCTCCACTGCGATGAACGGCTGAGTCAGGAGGGGGGCTTCAAGGAAAGCAGAGCCCCTCTCAAAACATCAGGGAGTCTTTGGCGAGCGCTCAGGGCCTCAAGGACGCAGCCCTGGGTTTGCTAAGCGGACCGCCTCCGGGACCGCAGCGGGAGAGCCCGGCCCAGTTTCCGGCCTGCCCATCTCACACTCATGTCCGTCTGCCCCGCTCCGCCCGCTCTCCAGCCGGCCCAGGGCCCTGCGGGCTGTGAGGCCAGCGAGGCTGCAGCCTGCACCCTCCAATGCGGTCTCTCTGTGGACAGACACATGGACACGCACCCGTGCGTGAATCTGCACGCGGCCCTTCAGGACACGGCCTGAGACGGCACAGGTCCCGCAGCCAGTGCGGCCTCGGATGCAATGCAGAGACGCAAGGCTCACAAGACAGAAGGGGCTGCTTCTGCCACCTTTTCTAACCATCCAGAGTGCACACTAACTGGCAAATCCGTGGATGGGTGACACTGTCGGTGACTGGTTATCACCGTGTGTCCTCGACTTGGTGCCGACCGGTTGTGCGGGGCTTCTCACGGCACCACCGCACTGCAGCCGGCTGACGTGGGGCCAGGTGATGGGAATGTTGCTGCCCCACAATCACCCCCGGGAGCAGAGTTGCAGGTGCCGTCTGTTGTCAGCTGGAATGTGGTTGTGCAATGTGTGACTGTGTAGACGTGAGGTACGTGACCGCGTAGACGAGGCCTCCCGGATGGAGCAGGACCCAGCAGAGGAAGGAGATGGTGCCCCAGTCCTGCCCTCCCTCCTCGCGGGGCCAAGGGCTGAGGCAGGAGTGGAATCAGAGCCCCTGGCCCAGAGCCCCTCCCTCCCCGCTGGCCAGAGACCCCACTCAAGGGCATGGGGCCGTGCGGGGAGGGGCGGGAAGGAGAGCTGAGTCCCCCAGGCAGAGAAGGGCTGCCCAGGGGACCGACAGCCCAGGCCCCCGGCTCCTGGCCAGGACTCCAGAGGCGCTGAGTGAATCCCTCAAAGCGCGCAGCGTGCCGCCGCCACATTCCCACGTCCATCCCACGCTTCGCCGTGACCTTACCCGCAAGTTACGCGCTGCACATGACCCGGCCGCAGCCGGCTCAGCACCCCCCGGAAAGTAACCACCAGCTTCAGGACTCGGCTCTGGGCCCGGCCCAACCGTGCAGGCTGCGTGCCGCTAGCCGCTCCCTGCAAGAAAAAACAGACGCCCAGAGAGGTCCCCAGCTAGGGACCTGACCCCTGGGCCTCCCCTCCAAGGTCAGAGGCCACGCCCTTCTCTCCCCGCTGGCCAGCGACTCTGTGCCCCCAGGAAAAGACCCCAGCAGGAGGCGGCTCAGGACCGCCCTCTCACCCACCGGCCCTCTGGCCACAGGCTTGGCAGGGGCCGAAGGACAGGAGCTGGGCGGGCTGTGGACCCAGCGTTCCCCCCACCAACGCCACCAGGAGGTGCCTCGTGGCTCTTCCGGGCCCCAGGGGAGCCATGGGAGACCTCCGGCCCTGAATCCGCCAACAGCTGTGACCACTTCAGCTATTTTAAACCCGTGGGCACCAGGAAACTCCTGTCCCGTCAGCCAGGCACCGCGCCCAACACCGCGGGCTGCAGCCAGGGCAGGCGGCCTGGGTGTGGGCGGTGGGTGGGGTGGGGGTCGGATGGTTTCGGGGGAGGGGGCCTTCACTTTCTGGGCGCTCACCTTGTGTGACCCCCGCTGGTGTTTCCAGTCGGCATGCTGCCGTCTCACTGTGCGATCCTACGCGATCCTCTCCTGCTGCTGAGCCACCGGTTCAGGGAGGCGGGAAAGCGGGTGCTGGCAAGGGGGGTCCGAGCCCCAGCCTCTCCTCCACGACACATGGACACCGCGCTCCTCATGCCCACCATGGCCTCACAGGTCCCCTGGCCCTGCCACTCTTGGGAGCCCTGGCACTCAGGATAAATCCTTCACCTCCCTGCGGCTTGCTTTACCCATCTGTAAAGTGGGGACGCCTGGGAGGGTGGAATGACCCAGCCCCAGGGCACAGGGCTGTGCCGTGAGCACACGAGTCCTCCTGCCCTCCTGGGGCTCACAGCCCTTTGCCTGGCGTTGTCACCGTCCTGCTCCTGCTGTGACCCGCTGTGACCCGCTCAGACCTCCGCCGGCAAGGGGTGTGGGATCCTCCCCGCAGTCCGGCCCCAGTTTTGCATGGATGAGACGGGGTCGTGCTCTGTGACCACCCCATCCCTGCAAGGTGGGAGCCCTGGTATCGGTGCTGTGCCTGCCACCAGGAAGCGTTCAAAAGTAACCCCTGGTGTCCAGACACAAGCCCAGCTCTGGGGGACCGCACAGTCAACTCGAAGCCAAACAAGTATTTTCCCACCTGGGCTGCCTCCTGATTGGACAATGAGATCATCAGGGATGCCAGGAGCCAATCAGAAGTTATCAGTCTCTGGGGCTGATGCTATGGCGTAACGGGCAAAGCCACTGCCTGTGGTGCCAGCATCCATATTGGCACCAGTTCAAGTCCTGGCTGCTCCACTTCCAAACCAGATCCCTGCTGATGGCCTGGGAAAGCAGTGGAGGATGGTCCAAGTGCTTGGGCCCCTGCAGCCGCGTGGGAGACCCAGAAGAAGCTCCTGGCTCCTGGCTTTGGACCAGCCCAGCTCCAGCCTTTGTGGCCATTTAGGGAGTGAACCAGCAAATGGGAGATTTTCTCTCTCTCTTTCTGTCTCTCCCTCTCTCTCTGTAGCTCTGCCTCTCAAATAAATAAATAAATAAATCTATATTAAAAAAAGAAAGTTACCAGTCTCCGCCTGGGTCTAGGAACAGCGCCCAAGGGGGGTGCCCCTTGGGCAGAATTCAGGCACTCAGGCATCCCTCCTTTCCCACCCGCACTCCTCCATATCCTGTCCCCTGCGTGGCAGCTGTGGGGACAGGGTTGGAGTCGGGGGCTGGGTGAGTCAGCTCAGGGCACTCGCGAGCCTCACCCCTCATGTCCAGATACGCGCCCTTCCCGGGGCCCCCTCGGCCGGGCCCACCTCCCTGCCCCAGAGGCCCCAGGCTTCTGCCCACCACCTGCCATTCCTGCTTCTCCCCACCACCACCACCACCAAGGAGCACTAACTCGCCCAGGACTGAACCACCCCAGGCCAGAGGGGAGGCTCTGGGCTCTCACTGTATGCCACCTGCCCTCGGCCTCCACGGGACACTAACTGACCTCTGGGTGGCATCCCCCAGCAGCCCCAGGCCAGAACTGCGGCCCTAATCCTCACCCCCTGCCTATCCCTCAACTGGCACCTCCTGTCCGTCACCAGGTGCCGCCCAAATCTCAGCCCATAAACACTGGTCAGATGGATCCCCTCCTCTCGGGCCCTGTCACGCGGCTCCGGCCAGGGGCCTCATGGCTGTCCTCAGCCCAGCCTCCTCGCCCAGGGCACAGGACAGCCAATGACCCAGGTCACTGCCCGTCGACCAGGCTCCTTTCGCCTGCCTGCCAGTGCCTGAGCTCGGCATTCAGGCCCCTTTTAGCTGCGGGGCTTCAAGCCCCACCGCTCTCCATTTACCCCATGTTGAGGCTGACTTCATTGTTGGGGGAGGCGACAGCTGCCAGGCTCTGTCCAGCTTCCTGGCCTTATGCAGATGGCCTCCGCTCATTCCCTTCCTTTGCAGGAATAAGAAATCCGCTCCTTTGGGAAGACGTCGCGTCCTCAGCCCGGGTTTGCATTTTCTGCCACCGCAGCCAGGGCGTGCCCAGCACCTGCGAGCCCCCTGAAGTTTCGATGACACCAAGAATGAGCCAAGGGCCAACGTTTGGGGCAGCAGTGAAGCCACCGCTGGGAGTCAGTAGCCCATAGTCGGTGCCCCGGTTGAGTACTGCCTCCGCTCCTAACCCCGGCTTCCTGCTGATGCCCATTCTGGGATAACGCAGTAATGCCCCGAGTGATTGGGTCCCTGCCCTCCTGGGGGACACCTGGATTGAGTTCCCACTGCCCCGCCCAGCCCCAGCTGTAGCCAACATTCGGGGTGTGAACCAGCAGATGGGAGCTCTCGCTCACTCGCTCTCTTCCCCTGTCTGCCTTCCAGATAAATAAATACACAGTGAAAAGAAGTCAAAAAGGCCCAAACCAAGGGCGGACGGCAGGCGAGAGTTTGCTCCCGCTAATCCCGGGGCGGGACGAGCCTGGGGCGGGGCCACGCTTGACGGATGGGCCCGAGGTCCGCCCCGCCCACGCTCCGCCCACCAGCTCCGCGATAAGGCTGCCGGCCGGGCAGCGGCGGCGCAGGCGGCTGCAGCGCGCTCACCTGCTGCAGGTGCTCCGGCGGCGGACGGGCGAGCGAGGGCAAGAGGCGGGGCAGTGCGGACAGGCAGGCAGGATGCCTCGCGAGCGGACGGTGCGGCTGCAGTACGGGAGCCGCGTGGAGGCGGTGTACGTGCTGGGCACGCCACTCTGGATCGATGTCTACAGGTGAGCCGGCGGGAGTCTCTCCAGCCGCGGCGCTCGGGGCTGGGGTCTCGCCCCTGAGAGCTGGAGGCTCGGCCCTCCCCGCCCCTGGGGACGTAGGCAGCCTTCCTCCAACCGCCCCTCATCCCTAGGTCCTCGCGCCGGAAACCCCAAGAACCTCACCCAGAAGCCTGAAAACCCCAAACTTGAGTCTATTTCCCCGAAATCCTGAAGCCCTCCCTCCCAGGCACCCTGGCAGCTCTCCGGCCCTGGCCCCCCACCTCCCGGCCCTCCGCAGCCCCTCCCCCAGAGTGAGCGCGGCACTCAGCCTCCCCACCACCCTCTCCCCTTTCACTTCCCCACTGCCTTCCCCTGGAACCCTCCTGACTCACCGCCCACCTCCACTGCTGCGCCCCACTCCCGGCTCAGCCCAGCCGCCTCCGAGGTTTGCCGGGGACTGGGACAGAACCAGAGAGGAGCTGGCCTGGGCTGGAATCTGGCCGTGGGGATGGCTTAGGCTCCGATTTCGCTCTGCGGGGGCTGCTGATGGTTGCCTTCCCCAAGCACTGGCCGAGAGTTCTGTGTCCCCAAATGCCTTTCCCTGACTTCGCCCCAGGAGCGTAGAGGGACCACATTCCACCTGCTGAGGGCCTGGGGTGGGCGCAGAGCGCTCCCGGAGGCAGGCCTGTTCCCTCCCCCTCTTTCTGTCCCTGAACTTGGTGGAATTCAGAATTTCTGAGACAGCCGGACATAGGGTAGCCCTGCCACTACCCCCAGCCCCAAGAAGCAGCCAGACCCAATGAGCCGCTTCCCCAGTGCCGGGGTGGGGGTGGGGGGCTGGGAAGGTGTGGTTGGTGAGGGTGACAGGGTGAGGCGGGCCCGCTGTGGGGTCCTACCTGGGTTTGATCTGCAGTCCAATATTCCAAGCATCTGAAATATTCCTCTTTGCCAGAGTGGGAGGGGTTGGGGCTGGGAGGCGGGGCTCTGCAGGGGGTCCCCTGTGCTGCTGCTCCTGGGTCCCCTAACTTCTCTGTTCCGGGCTCACGTGGAGGCACCAACGTGCCTTAGTGCCTCCAAATCGTGCCGACCCCCTGGAGCAGCCGGCCTCTGCCAGGCCCAGCCCGAGTCCACCCGAGCGTCTCCCCGCACGGCCTCCCTGGCCCTGGCAGCCCTGCCCACCTGCCCTGCCAGGCTCCTGCCGCCTGCACAGCAGGCACTGGGCGCCTCAAGCCTCAGGACAGGAGTGGGGAACATCCCCCACGCCCCTGCCCCTGGCCTCAGCCCCGCGTGCAAAGCCCAGAGGGGAGCGGGGGGTCTCTGCGTGTCAGACAGCAGTGGAGCGCAGTCGGGGTGCCAGCGGCCTGGGAGAGCTCCCCTCACTCCCCCACCCCAGCTCTGCGTGGGGCGCTGCCAGGGAGCGGGGCGGAAGCCAGGATGCTCAGGTCTCTAAGCCTCAGCTGTCACCGTACCCGCCTGTTTGTTTGCTGAGGCACTCTTAGTGCTGCCTGCCAGGCGGGCGCGGTGCCTCGGCGGGGGTGGGGAGCAAGGAGGGGCTCTGCTCAGGCCCCCTCCCATCCTGGCAGAAAGGGGCCCCGCACAGCGAGGGCAGGGAATGGGGCAGGTGGGGCTCATCCTCTTTCTGGCAGTGGCCAGCAGTGTGACCGTTCCCTCTGCACCTCCTCCAGAGGCCAGCACAGCCCCAACAGCTCCTCCTTGAAATTCAGCATGAGCTGTGGGTGGTTTTTTTTTTTTTTAGATTTATTTCTTTATTTGAAAGGCAGAGTTACAGACAGAAAGCAGAGAGAGAGAGAGAGAGAGGTCTTCCATCTGCTGGTTCACTCCGCAGATGGCCGCAATGGCCAGAGCTGGGCAGATCTGAAGCCAGGAGCCAGGAGCTTCTTCCGGGTCTCCCACGTGGGTGCAGGGGCCCAAGCACTTGGGCCGTCTTCTACTGCTTTCCCAGGCCACAGCAGAGAGCAGGATCGGAAGTGGAGCAGCCGGGTCTCAAACCAGCGTCCATATGGGATGCCGGCACTGCAGGCGGCAGCTTTACCTGCTGCACCGCAGCGCCAGCCCCAGCATCAGTTTTACTCTCCCGGCATCCTACTCCAATTGCAGACTAACAGCCTTCCGAGGGCTCGGCAGCCGCAAGCAGCCGAGGCCGCGGCCTTGGGCAGCAGCGTCTCTCAGTCCTGGCCTGCTTGTGTTTAGGGCGGCAGAACTCTCTGTTCCAAACGATGTGTTGGCTTATTTCTTTAAGAGGCAGAGAAACAGAGAGAGGACTCGTCTCTGCTGGTTCTCTCCCCACATGCCCACAATAGCTGGAGTTGGGCCAGGCCCAAGGTCTGGAGCTGGGAACTCAACCCAGGGCTCACGCCTGGGTGGCAGGGACCCAGTTACTTGAGCCGTCACCACTGCCTCCCAGGGGCTGTGTTAGCAGAAAGCTGGAGCCAGGACTTGCACCCGGGGACTCCAATACGGGATGCAGGTGTCCGATTTTGGCCTCGGGACCGCTAGGCCCGGTGCCCGCCCCTAGGCTCCTCTTCATCGTGGGGCCTTCTGTCCTGTGCATTGCAGGACACTCAGTGAGATGCGTGCAGACCCCGCCCCAGCCCCTGCCAGGGGGGACACCCAGGCCCCTCTCAGAACCAAGGCGGCTGGGCTGCTCCGGCTGCCGTCCTGTCCAGCTGTGCAGGCGTCAGAGCCGGGGTCAGCGCTGACCAGGGCAGGACCTCCGTGAGCACCGGCTCCGAGCGCGTCCTCTCCCTCCCCCGTCGCCGATGCCCTCGAAGGTTGCTCTTTGTCCCGCTTTGCACTGAGGGCGGTGAGGCTCAGGGAGCTCAGGTCTTTTGCCTGATGTCACCCAGGACGCGGGGCCAGGTCCGTGTCACTCACAGCGCATGCTCTGTGCAACCCTAAAGCCAGCAGGAGCAAGCGAACGAGCCTCGCAGCCTCTGTCCCTCCCTGCCCCCACCCCTTCTGCCCCAAGAAACTTCACTCCCACTTGGCCTCTGCTTCCCACGGCGTCCTTCCTGGCCCTGGCCCACTGGAGCCTCCACAGGGACCCCAAGGACGGGGCCCGGTTAGGTAGGGAAGGCTCTGAGCATGGCGGGCGAGCAGGCGGGGCACCTGCCTGTTCCCTGGGCTTTGGGTTCCCTCCCTGAGCTGCACCCTGCCCTGGTGTGGACAGAAACTGTCCTCCCCACCCCCAGCAGGGGCGAGTGGTGCTCAGGGTGAGGGCTGCTCCCCGGCACTGGGGAGGCTGCTGGGCCCTGCAAAGAGGCAAGATCTGAGATAACCCGGACGAGGGTCCCATTGCTGTGTGACCTTGGACGAATGCCTCTACCTCTCTGAGCACCCATCAGCCCAAATGAGGGTCATCAGAGAACAGTCAGGACCCTGTGATGAGCGGCGGGTCAACCACGTGGCTGCCCACGGAGGACTCGCCCAGGCCCAGGGGAAGGAGCGCTCTAGACCTCCCTCGCGCTCCCAGAAGAACTGGTCTCCAGCAAGCCGCGAGTGTCTGCAGAGGAAAGAGGAAGTAGGATTTTTTCTGGAGGTTGTACTCAGTGATCGTTGTCAGATACTTGCCTTAGTTCTAGCGCAGTACACCTTGCCCCTCCCTCCTCAGCTTCCCGGTGGTCCCTTTGTAGGGCCAGCCTGTGTCACCGGGACTGGCCAGGGTCCCCATCTGACTTGGGCACAGGTTGGAGAGAGGCTCAGAGTGGCTGCTGTTCCCAGGCTGGTGTCATCCGCCCACCCACCTGTGCCGGGGGCGTGGACTCCCCAGGGGTCTGGAGGGATTGGATGGGGCAGCCCTGGAGTGGCACTCACGCTGCCGCCCCCTGGGCCTGGTCTCAGATGGGGCGCCTCCCTTCACACCCTGGTTCACGCGTCTGTCCAGGGGTGAGCATGCTGGAGAGAGTGCTGTCCGTCTCTCCCCATCCCGAGGTCTGCGTGAGGTCCAGGAAGAAGCGCTGGCATTGGCCGTGGTCTCTGGCACCTGCTGAGTGCTCGGCCGCTCCCGCCTGACCTGAGATGAGCCCGAGGTGGCGAGTGGGGGTGCTCCAGGTGCCACCCCTGCTCCTTGCCTGGGGGTCCCCAAGGCAGAGGCTGAACAGGTGCCTTGCTTGCCCCCCCACCCTCTGGCAGAGGACAGGAAGAGGGCCCCAGGGCAGGGTTCCTAGACGTCGGCCCCAGGAGCCTCTGGGGAAACAGCAAGTGCAGACCTGCGTCCCGCCTGGGGACATCAATCATTCTCCCTCCCCCTCCGCCGACTCGCTCCCGCCTCCCGCGCTGCCTCTGGGTTGCTGTGAGTGCCGGGAACGTGTTTGCTTCAGAAAGTCTCATGGGGCAAAGGCAGGAGGGACTGTGAGCCGCAGTGGGGACTTGGGGTGCCGTGGGGCCCCCCGTAGTGTGCCAGGCCCTGCCTCGCAGAGGCTGTCTCCTGACAGTTCCATGCACAGGCCCCGTTCCAGCCACGCTGGCATTGTCGGCACCATCAGCCTTTGAATGCACCAAACCCGTCCCACCTCAGGGCCTTTGCACTCGCTGTTCAGTCTGCCCGGACCACTGTGTTCAGACCCTTGGTATCCAAGTGCTTCCCTGAACCCCAGGCGCTGTGTGTCTTGTTGCCTGGTTTACTTTCCTTTGCAGATCTGCCTATTTCTTTTCTTTTTAAAGATTTATTTTATTTATTTGAAAGACAGAGTTACAGAGAGGTAGATCCAGAGAGAGAGAGAGAGAGAGAGAGAGAGAGAGGTCTTCCATCTGCTGGTTCACTCCCCAAATGACCAATCCAAAGCCAGGAGCCAGGAGCTTCTTCTGGGTCTCCCACGCAGGTGCAGGTGCAGGTGGGCCATCTTCCACTGCTTTCCCAGGCCACAGCAGGGAGCTGGATCAGAAGTGGAGCAGCCGGGTCTCGAACCAGCACCCATATGGGATGCGGGCTCTGCAAGCCGGGGCTTGAACCCGCTGCGCCACAGCGCCGGTCCGATCTGCCTGTTTCTTACAGGGAGCGGCTACAGGCAGCCTTCTCAGCACGGTGCCCCCATCCCGCCTGCGTCTCAGCCTCCCTAGCATTTTATGAGCAGAGGCTATTGTCACCCTGCTTTCCCAGGGGGGTCGTGGTGACACAGTCCTGGCCCCCGACCGCTCGGCCAGTCTGCCCTCCTGGGGCTGTGTTTTAAGCCCGAGCGCCTCCTGGCTCTTTCTCCTCTCTAGTCAATGAATGAATGAATGAATGAATGACTGGAGGGGGGGGCGATGCCGGTGGGTCAGCCTATCACATGCTGAGCTCCCCACCCCCACCCTCCAGGGGCGGGCGCCATGGAAGGTCAAGGGCTTTCGGCCCAGCTTGGCGCCTGCTCCTGCGTGATGATGCTGGGCGGCTTCCAGGCCGGATCAGGTGGCCCCATAAATTAGAGCAACACCCCGAGCCTTCAGCCCCAAGCAGGAGGCCCTGCCAGGAGCTGCTCGCGGGCTCTGGTTTCAGGCCGGTTCCCAGGCGGCAGGAGGGCAGTGAGGAGGGCCTGGCCCAGGGCTCTCCACACAGCTGGGGGCCCTAGGGCCTCCCTCACCGGCCACAGGGCGCCGATGGGACCACCCGGCAGAGCTCACGCCCATGCCCACCCACAGCTGGCCGGCACCTGTCCCACTTCAGTTTTGGGAGGCTGCCCCCTCCTGCCCAGCCATGCCCAACCCTGAGGCCAGGGGCTCTGATGCCCACGCCTGCTTAGCTCATTTGAGAGTCCAGGACAGGAAGCCAGCCTGCGGTGTCCCCCTGTGGGCCCCTGACTCCCACCTGTGAAATAAGAGGGGGCTCCAGGGGCCCCTCAGGGTCTCTCATTTGGTCCTCTCCTGAGCCAGGCCCTCTGCCCCCACCAGGTTCCCTCCCTGGAGGACCACCTGGCAGTCTCCAGCAGGTGGAGTCTCTCCCAGGCAGGGAGCAGCCGGGCCCGGGTCTCCGAGAGCCTCTCATTACTGTCCTTCAGACCTGGAGTGGAGCTCACCCTCCACGGGCCTCAGTGCGCACAGGTCAAATGACACGGCGTTGGCACAGACCAAGGACTTAGCACATCACAGATACCCAGTAGCTACTTGAATTCGTATTGGGGTTTAATATAATATTATGGAAACAAAGAATACGAGGCAGGCGGGTCCCTGCCCTGGAAGAGTTATGACACTTGTGGGAGAAAGTGCTGAACGTTTGTCAGCTGTTGTTTGAGGAACCAGTGGAGGGAGAGATGTGTTCTGGCTGGGGAGGTCAGGGAGGACTTCCTGGAAGGGGTGGAGACTTAGCCAGGTCTCCAAGGGTGATGGAAGGTTCAGAAAGAGACAGGATGCTCCACGCAGGAGTAAGCACACCGAGCAGGAAAACCGGCACAGGGAGCGGAAGTATCATGTCCATCCCTGCGGCACCAGTGAGCGCGAGCCCCGGCTTCGAGGGCATCGTTCAGGGTTGAATTTTCTTCTGTAGGTAGTAGGGAGCCATTGATGGTTTCAGAGGATGGGAGTCAGCAGATTATTTCTCCCTAAGGAGAAGCCTGGGGCAGCAGGAGGCGCCGGTGCCTCCAGGGAGAGACTGGCTGAAGGCACGCCAGGGCTGGCCTCCGCCGAGCCTGGCCAGAGCCCACCCTCAGGGACTAGCAGCTTCCCACCTTGGGCCTCGCCTCCCTCCCTCCCCCCCCGTCTCTGCCCCCGAGGGTGCTCGCCAGGCTGGCACCCAGGACTCCCCCTCAGACTCCTCCAAAGGCCCAAGGGTGAGAAGTCCCTCCCAGGCGCCAGGAGCCAGGCGCACTCCGGGGATGAGCCCCGGCAGGTGTTAATGAGGCCCAGGCCGGGTGGACAGGCCGCAGGAGGCAGGTGCCAGCCAGGGACAGGCGTGCCACCCTTCAAGTCTGATGCTGAGTGAGCCACCCTGGCCCTCGGAGCCAGAGCCAGCGCACCCCTCTCCCCCCACCTCAACCAGAGAGGCTGGGTGGCTCCCCGAGGGCCACACAGCCTTTGTGGGGCTGGATGGATGGGCCTGGCTTTGAGACGGCCAGCTCGCCAGTTTTCTGCACGCCATCCGCCATGCCAGCACCCATCCTGAGCCATCGGCCCCATCGCTCATCGGGACGGAGCAGTCACCTCACTGCCCCCACCCCCACCCCAGGCGAGCTGTCGATGGCGTCTGCGTGATCGGGTGGCCCCTGCTTGGAAACTTCCAGGACCCCTTCCACACCCAGGAGAAAGGCTCCCCACCGTGAGCTGCCCCCCCTCCAGCCACGCCCACCTCCCTCCGGTCCCGAACCTGCTGGCCTAGCGTCCACCCTGCCCGAGCCGTCCCTGCTTCTCAGAAATCCCCATCCTCTCCCTCTCCTCTCCGACTCAGTGGTGCTCAGACAGCAGTCCCTCCTCCCGCTCCTCCTCCCCCTCCCCCTCCTGTATCCCCTCCTCCTCACGTGCCTTCAAGAAGCTAACGTGGCTGGAGAAAGTAAGCCTGGGGGCAGACTGGGGGCTGAGTCTCCCCGGGGGATTGGCTTTGGCCAGCAGAGAACTCGGGGAAGAGTGTCCCTAGAGGCAGGACACATGCGGTTACAGGGGCCGTGGGCGGAAGGAGGCGGGGACACCGTGGCTGGGTGTTCGCCCCGGCTGGACACCAGGCGACGGGGCCTGGGGTGGGTTGTAGGAGCAGGCACTGGGGAGCCTCTGAAAATCTCCAGGCTGGCGGGTGCCCTGATTTCTGGTGTTAAAAATCACTCATGCGGAAGCCGCCGAGTTTCGGTTCTTCCCAGGTTACACCGAGCGTGGCTGTGTCACTGAGCATGGCTGTGTCCCGGGTGCTGGGATCCACACAGGCGAGGTGCGGGCGCCGGCAGCCTATCCTAGCCACGGCCTTCTCCCGATAAGCACGGGGGCCCTAAACCCGCCCCGCCCCCCTCCCGTGCCCTCTGTGCTGCCCTGGGCCCTCCAGGAACACATGTGCCCAGGTGCTCCCAGGCTGCCCCTGGCTCTCAGGTCCTGTGGGGTGGGGGTGGGGGGCAGGATGCTAAAGGGGATGAAAGCAGCCAACAGGATCCACAGGGACAATGGTGCCTTTGTCGCCTCTCTCAGGGCAGGGCTGGGGCTGCGTGGCGGGAGGGTGTGGCGCCCTGAGCCTGCAGAGCCACTGGCACAGGGGAATAGAGGCAGGCAGGACATACCCACCCCCCGCAGGGACTCAGAGGAAGGGTCCCGGAGCCCCTCCCCGGCCCGTGAGCGTGGGGAGCGGCCTCTCTAAGCAGAGCTGAACGCTGAAGCACCGCACAGCCGCGGACCCGTGCGAGGTGGGCGGGGTCCTGGCAGAGGGAGCCCCCCAGCTCTCCACAGCAGCCCCTCTGCCTGCCCCTGCCCCTGGACCCCAGCTGGCCCCTTGGCTCCCTCGGGAGTGTCTGGCGTTATCACAAAGAGCTCGGCTGCCATGGAGAGACTGCACCTGCTCACCCCCTGGGGGAGCCACGCTGCCTGCGGGAGAGGCCCGCCCGCTGTCCCGCTCCACGCAGCTCCTGCCTGGCTCTGAGCCACGTGCTCGCCCTGGGCTTGGCTCCTAGGGTAAGGCTGGGAGAGGACGCCCCTGCTCAGGGCAAAAGCCCAAAGGACAGGAGATGCCCCCGCCCCGAGGGATGAGCGACAAGGCTGGGGGTGGGCGGCTGTCCTTTGTCCCCGGGGCTGCAGATGGACCCTCAGAAGGGGCCAGGGGGATACTCAACGCCCCCATCTTTGCACAGCAGGCCCAAACTGGCTCCATCCCAGCTCTAGTGCACCTGTGCCCACCCACCCAGAGTTTTTACCCGGATGATAATGATGGTGTGAACAGAAGGCCAAGGCCACCAGGCATCCAGCCCCCAACGGGCCCAGTGTCTCCAGGACGGACTGAGCAGTCAGGAAGCGGACAGGTGGACAGGAGCAGCCTCGGAGCTGCTTTTCTGAGCCCACCTCCCACTGTCTCCTCCAGCGCCCAGGCCCAGACGTCTATGCCTGTAGCTCCTGCTGGCTGGGGCCTGGGTCGGGGAGACCCACACCCACGGCCTTGGCTGCCCAGCGCTCTAAGCACGCGCCACCTTGCTGAACGTCTCGAACGCCCGCTCTCAAAGCGCCCTGGCCTGGCCCAGCAGTGCCAGCAGCTCCGGGAGCAGGAGCGGGCATGTGCACAGTGGTTAAGACACCACTTGGGACACGGGCGTCCCGTGGCGGAGTGCACAGGTGTGAGTCCCAGCTCCGCCCCCAGTCCAGCTTCCGGCTGGCGGTCCCCCAGGAGGCAGCAGGTGACGGCTCAAGCGCCTGGGTCTCCCACGTGGGAGGCCCGGCTGGAATTCTGGGCTCCGGGTTCAGCCCGGCTGTGGCAGGCGCTTTGCTCAGGGACAGGGAGACAGGTTCTAAGCCCCACCCAGCCCTCGGAGCAAGTGGATTCTTCTCTGGGGGCCTCGGTCACCCGCGTGCCCCCTTCCCCAGGTGCACAGAGGAGCCCCTGGAGAGCCCGCGCCGCCTTGCGGCCCCGGGGCTCCCCTTGACCCTGCTCCTCTCTCCCCACAGCGCGGCCCCCGCCGAGGCCCGGACCTTCAGCCTGAAGCACTCAGAGCGCGTGCGCGTCGAGGTGGTGCGGGACGGGGAGGCCGAGGAGGTGGCCACCAATGGCAAACAGCGCTGGCTCCTGTCGCCCAGCACCACACTGCGCCTCACCATGGGCCAGGCGAGCACCGAGGCCAGCAGCGACAAGGTACCACGCCTGGGGTGGCCCCTCCCATGGCCAGCCGGGGAGCCTCGGGGCGGGGCACAGCCGGGCAGCCTAGACCCGCCCCCTCCCATAGAAACGGAACGCGTGCCACCTGCGTCCGCTTTCGCTGTCTCGTAGCCACGATAAGAACACAAGAAGAAACAGGTGAAATTAGCCTTTTAATGTGGCTTACTTGATCCTGGATCCCTGCATGTCGTTTTGACATGCCATCAATGTAAGAAGTGGAGGTGATGGTTTATCTTCCTTTTTCACACCAAATCTCAATCCAGTGTGTATTCCACACTCCCACCTGGGGCCAGCTACCCCCTGGCCCTCTCTACACCCTGCCCCGGGGCCACGGACGGGCAGCCCTGGGTCCCTAGTTCACCTGGTCGCAGCCCGTCCAGGCCCAGAGAGGTTAGCGACCATGTTCAAAGCCACATGGCAAGCGCTCAGCGGCCACACGGGCTGTACTGGACGGGGCAGTCAGAGGGAGGACGCTGGGGACGCTGGGTGGTGGGTCGCTTTGCAACTCAGAGACGCGGGTCACTGGAAGTTGCAGCCGCAACCCTCTGGGGTCTGAGCACCCGGGGACGGGCGACGGGATTTGCCGCAGGGGTGAAGCCGAGACCAGAACTGTCCCCTCGCTGGGCTCTCTGACGGTGACCCTCGCCAAGTGCTCCACCAAGCAATGACACCGGGTAGTATTTAAACACCACAGCCCCGTCCCCTGGGAGCTAAGCAGGAGCGCGACACCCACGGGGTGGAGGTGGGGGCCCTGCACAGCAGAGTGCGCCCCTGGGACACAGGCAGATGGCACCCTGGTGTGCCCTTGAGAGGAGGTGAGTCAGTCACCTGGGAGAAGCAGTCCATCAACCCCGGAGTGCTGCCTGGAGGAGAGGGCTCAGGGTTCGGAGAGGGTGGGCTTGACATGCTGAGGGGCACGGGGCAGGGAGGGCAGTGACCTTGGGCTTTCCTGCTTGTGACCTGTCACCTCTGCTCTCTGTCCCAATGTGCTGTCCCCACCAAGGTCACCGTCAACTACTACGACGAGGAGGGCAACGCCCCCATCGACCAGGCCGGGCTCTTCCTCACGGCCATCGGTGAGTAGGGGCCGTCACCCCAGGGCCGGTCTCGCCACCTTCTCAGTGGTGCCGGTGTCTCCAGTGCTGGGGACCTGGCGCTCGGGGTTTCTCTCTCTCTCTCTTTCTTTCTTTTTTTTTTTTTTTTTTGAAAGATTTATTTATTTATTTGAAAGTTGGAGTTACACAGAGAGAGGAGAGGCAGAGAGGGGGTGGGGGGTCTTCCATCCACTGGTTCACTCCCCAATTGCCCGCAACAGCCGGAGCTGTGCCAATCCGAAGCCAGGAGCCTGGAGCTTCCTGGGGGTCTCCCACGCGGGTGCAGCGGCCCAAGGACTTGGGCCATCTTCCACTGCTTTCCCGGGCCACAGCAGAGAGCTGGATCGGAAGTAGAGCAGCCAGGACTCGAAACAGCACCCACATGGGATGCCGGCACTGCAGGCAACGGCTTTACCCACTGCACCACAGCACAGGCCCCGCTTGGGGCTTCTAAACAAGGCAGGCCTGTAGGGGATGCCACACGTCCCCTGCCCTGTGTGCTGGAGGACTTCCTGAAGGAGGAGGCGTAGCTTGGTCAGCCAGTGAATGACCCATTGTCAGGGTCCCCTTCCCGGGATCTGTGAGCCAGAGGAGGAGGGGGAGTTGGTCCCTCCCCGCCACTGCCCTGCAGCCTGGAGAAGAGCTTCCTCATGGGGAGGGAGGGGGCCCCAGGCCACAAAGCCTCTGCCTGCTCCTCGCCCTCCCTAGACCCAGCCTGGAGGGCACAGAGATGCGGCCCTGGGAACTTAATTCACCTGGTGCAACTCAGGAGGCCCAGAGAGGTTAAGGACTTCATTCAAAGTCACACAGCAACTCAACGGCAGCTCGACTCCAGGACCCAGGCTGAGTCCCTCGTACCACCGGCCCTGCCCTGGTGCCGGTCTGCACACCGGGGAGGTGGGGCCCTGTCACTCCCCCTCTTCGTGGAGGAACGACACAGGACCCTGCGCTGTTCTTTCGTCTGCTCGGCCCTCCCCGGGTTTGCTGCTGGTTCTTCCCGGGTTGGCTACTATCCCTTCCACCTCCGTGGAAGGGCAGTTCCCCCTGGCCGCATTCCCCACTTCCACAGGGGAGCGGCACACCGCCGGCCGGCTCTCTCGGGGGCTGCACGGGTTCCCTTAGATGTTCCCCATAGATGTTCCTCGTGCATGCCGTCTCTCTCCTCCTTTATAGTCCTCCTCCGCCAATCCTAACTCGGCTGCGTACGCTGCTCTCCTCCAATCAGGAGCAAGTCCTACAGTTTATTAGCTGAACTGGAGGCAGCTGTGTGGAAGCTGTTTACTTCTCTCCCAGCGCCATATTGTGGGAGAGCAGATGCATAGAATAAGTCTTAATTCCAGTAACTCAGTCCAGTCCGGGCTGCTCCCCACAGATCCCCCTTTCTTTTTATTTTTTGGCGTTGATACGCGCCTGTCTTCGGTGTCCCGCGGCACACACTCTGCTCTACTTGCTAGAGTTGCCACAGGCTCTTACAAGTCCTATCAATCAGGCAAACCGAATCCAAGCCTTCTCATTGCCGTATTGTGGGGGAGACTTATTAGTGTTGGTTCGTGCCTATCTTCGGTGACCTGCGGCGCATAAGCTGCTAGCCGCCGCAGGTGCTCATCGCCTCACTTAATCAGGCAGACCGAATCCAAGCTTTCTTATTGCCATGTTGAGGGGAGGCCTTTCTATTTCTCTATTTCTCTATCTCCGGGCATTCCTATTTCTCCCATTCCACTTCTATCTTCCAGCATTCCTATTTCTCTCACTTTACTTCTAAAACTTCTGTTTCTCTTATCCCCGCAGCTTCCCGCTCTCATTCTTATCCCCGCGGCTTCCCGGCTGCGCCCGCCCCGAGGCTGCTTCTCGGCAGCTTTCCGGCTCTGAGCCACTTCAGCCCGCGCCTCTCTCATCTGCGAGGCTTCGCGGCTCTGCGCGGCTCGGCCTTGCGCGCACACTCCGCGGTCTCCGCGCTAGCCCCGCGTTCCCTATGTACTTGAGCCCCGCACGCTCTGTCTGCGCGCGGCAGCCTCCGCGAGTCACACAGCATAGCTTACGTGTCCGCCACTAGCATTCAATCTAAGTTCCCCGGGCTAGCCTGGCGAATTCAACCCAGCTCACGTTTCCGCCCCACGATCTGGCTTCCCGTCCTTTGCTCCCCGGGCTAATCAGACGGATCCCAATCTGGCTTACGTTTCAGCTTCTGGTTTCAACTTTTCGCCCCCTATTCCCGGGCTAACTTGAGAATCCCAAAGTGGCTTTCGTGTCCGCCTTGGCCTGCCCCCCACGGCTTCAATTTCCCTAACATTTTTCTCTACCCGGTATGTTTCCCCAAGCTTTCCTCCAACAATACTCCTCCCTCATTTCTCCTGGCCTCTCCCCACAGTCCGCGTCCGAGTCTGTTTGTTCTAGATTTCACTTTCGCTTTCGACCTTAGAGATTTCTCCCAGCTTCCCCCCGTAGTCCGTAGTCCGTATCTATGCCTAGGCTTTCAATAGCTTCTTCCGGCACCTTTTTCGTCCGGCTTTTCCCTAGGCTGTTTGCTAGTCTCTCTCTCCGATATTTTCCCTAGGCTGTTTGCTAGTCTCTCTCTCCGGTATTTTCCCAGTTCTTCCCGTTTCTTCCCTCCTAAGTTTGCTATCCGTTCTAGGTTTCCTATCCGAGTCACGGCACCATTATGTCGCTCCCCCTCTTCGTGGAGGAACGACACAGGACCCTGCGCTGTTCTTTCGTCTGCTCGGCCCTCCCCGGGTTTGCTGCTGGTTCTTCCCGGGTTGGCTACTATCCCTTCCACCTCCGTGGAAGGGCAGTTCCCCCTGGCCGCATTCCCCACTTCCGCAGGGGAGCGGCACACCGCCGGCCGGTTCTCTCGGGGGCTGCACGGGTTCCCTTAGATGTTCCCCTTAGATGTTCCTGGTGCATGCCGTCTCTCTCCTCCTTTATAGTCCTCCTCCGCCAATCCTAACTCGGCTGCCCACACGCCGAGTACGCTGCTCTCCTCCAATCAGGAGCAAGTCCTACAGTTTATTAGCTGAACTGGAGGCAGCTGTGTGGAAGCTGTTTACTTCTCTCCCAGCGCCATATTGTGGGAGAGCAGATGCATAGAATAAGTCTTAATTCCAGTAACTCAGTCCAGTCCGGGCTGCTCCCCACAGGGCCCGGGGATGCGCGGCCGTGCTCTTACTTCATTTTATTTTAAAATGATGGCTGGTGCAGCAGGAGGACGCTCTGTCCGTCCAGTCTTGTCGCACCTTGACAGAGTTGCCACGCAGTAGGGAAAGGGACCTACCAGGTCCTGAGCACTGACCGTGCGCTGAGAGCTTCGAAACTGCCTCTGATGTCTCCCACGTACTGAGCGCCTGTGCCGCCTAGGACCGTGCCAGGCGCTTTGATGACGGGGAGGAGGGGAGAGAGGGGCGGGGAGGGGCTGGTAAGCACCTGCCACTCAGGGAGCGGCCGCGATGTGCCAGGCCCCACGGTTCCCCTGTCCTCCAGCCCTTCCGGGGTGGACACCATTGTCATGCGCCTTCTACGACCAAGGAAAGGTCAAACAAGCCACCCCCGACAGAGCGGTTGGTGGGACCGCAGGCCTCCATGATCTCACCTTCTCTAGGGGGAGGGGTCTCAGAACCTCCCCCAGAAGCAGGCAGCAGGCAGCAGGCCCCCCCCCAGCCCTCCCTGTGCCTGTGCCACTCGCAGAGGCTCAACCCCCCCCCACTGCACTTCCACTTTGCACCTCATTCCTGAGCGGGTTTGGTTGCTGCCACCCTGGCTCTCTTGCTGCCCTGTGAGGGGGGCCCTGCCCTGCAGTGGGGGACCTGGGGATGGCCTCAGGGGGCCCCGGGGGGGTGGAAACCAAAGACTCCTGTGCTGGGCGTACCCTGGCACGTGCATGAGCTTTGTGTGCACCGCCGCGCCCCGGCCGTCTCAGGTGACCGTCCCCAGGAAACCCAACCCCACCGAGACAGGGGCAGCTGAGGCCCTGGGCAGAGCCCGAGCAAACGAAGGTGATCGGAGGGCTGGCTGTGCCGTCGAGGAGCCTTCCAGCAAAGCAGGACGAGTTGGGATAGAGCAGGAGGGACCGGGCTTTCCTCTCGGTGCAGGACCACCGGGGAAGACGGAGCCGCCCGCGATCCCAGGCGCACCTGCCGGAGTGTGCGCAGCCGTCATGCAAGGTTCCGGGCTCTCACTTAATTATTCACGTCACCGCCACAGGTGCCAGACGTGCAGGGTCCATGGGCCAGTGAGATGCCCCTCTTCCCAAAACGAGACGTGTGACAGCTGTGACGCTTGGACAGAGACTAAACCAAAGCCCGAGTGGAGCAGTTTGCCATGCGCCGTGCCCCTGGCGTGGACACCTGAGAGGCAGGGGGCCTCGTCTCCCAGGGAAACACGGCTGTTTGTGTTGCCAGGGCCCAGCTGCAGGGGAAGCTCACCCCCACTGGACTCGGGCCTCCGGTTCCTCCAGGGACCCTGGGGACAGCCTGTTTTCTCTTGGGAATGACCGCGTTCTCTCCCTTCCAGGGCTTCTCTTCCCAGGAGCCCACATTCTGAGAGATCGCTCAGAGGCAAGACCTGGACGTCCCAGGAGCCTGGGGCTACCGGCCCCCCGACACAGATCGGAAGCCGGCTCACTAGAGTCCCATCCTGAGCCCAGGCTGCACTGCAGAGTAGACAGAAATAAGCCGGGTGCTGGCTCTGCTCCCTCCAGCCACACTGTGGCCTTGGGCGAGTTGCGTCACCGCCCTCTGAGCCTCGGTTTCTTCCTCTGTAGAATGGGTTCCCCGGAGACTCTCACTTGGCGCTTCCAAGGATTCCCTGGGATGGCAGGTGCACAGGGTCTGTGCGGGCCCAGAGGAGGTACCCAACTGATGCTTTCCTTGGCTCCTTCCTCTTGGGGCCGCCACATTTTCTGTCTGCCTGGGCAAAGTTGAAGACACCTCCCTGGGATTTGGGAACAGATCCATGGTACCTTTGGGTAAATCAGGCCCTGGGTCCTGGGTCTGAGTGCCTGCCAGGGACTTGCTGTGTGACCACGACAAGAAGCCCACCCTCTGTGTGCCTCACTTTTTCCAAGCTCTAAGGGAGTGCATGGAGCTGATTAATCCCTGCACGCCTCCCGACTCCCACCAGGGCCGCTTTGCAAAGCCTTCCCTGTCAAGGTAGAAAGTGGTGGGGGGGGGGCGGGGCAGGGATGAAGACCAGTGCCCTGCCTCTGCCATGGTCTTGGCAGTGGAACTTCAAAAGGTTCATGGAAAAAATGGAATTTTAAATAATAAGTTTATTTTGGTGCAAGGGCAGATTTTTCATGATACCCGCCTTGTCCGTGGACTTTTTGAAGATCCTGCTAACGGGGGCCTCAGGCGTGTGTGCAGCATCCACCTAGGGAGCTCCTTGCTGCGGCCCCCGGCCCGGAGCCCGGGATAACGGCCCCGGCTGGCCGCGGGGGAGCGAGCCCAGGCCGCTCTGGAAGGCAGGAGGTCAGCACCTGCCGCTGTCCGCGGGGCTGGCGGGCGGCCCCCTGCCTGTGCCCCGGTGTCTCGAGGCGCAGGGCAGACTGCCCTGAGCCCACTCCTAGTGACATTTCCCGTTAATGAGCCCCACACCCAGGCGCCACCTGACGCCTTGGGGCTATTCCGGGGAGCTGAGGTAGGACCCAAAGCCTCTGGGAAATGCGGGCAGCCCAGAGGCCCCGAAACAGGTGTCCTCTCCCACCCCCACCCCTCCCCTCTGAAAGGCAGGGCCGTCCCAGGAGGGCAGAGCTCTGGCAGGCTGGGCTCTGTCCCTACAAGCACCAGCCCATGTCACTCCCTGGGGACAGCCCTGCAGAGACTTCCGGGGACTCCGAGCTCAGAGGGAGAGCAGAGGGCAGAGGAGGTGGATTCTACCGGCTGCGGGGGTGCGCTCTGTGCCCTAAGAGAGAACTTGCAAAGCCCTCTGGGAGTTGAGAGCTGATGGAGGGAGCACCCAGGTTTCCTGCGGGAAGGCAGGGACTCATCGGAATGGGGAGAGTCGGGTCGGAGCAGGCGGCGGCGTGCTTGGCGCTGGCGGCTGCCCCGGGCAGGGAGGCTGAGAGGCAGAAGGGGAGCGGACGTTTTCCTTAGAAGCAGTTTGTCTTAGAAGCTGTCTCGTGGGTTTATTTTGTGCATAAATGTGCATAAATGTGCAAAAATGATGATAGAGTTTTTGAAGTTAAGAAATTCGTCATGCAGTAAGGCGGGGCCACTGCTTTTGTGGACACGCCCCAAGGGGTCTCAGCCTGGAGACGGGGCCACAGGGCTGTCAGAGTTGGGTGTGGCAGTGACTTCCAGAGCTAGCCTTGGGAATCCAGGGCAGAGAGCTGGGGGGATGGTCAGCCTAGGTCAGCCGGAGGTCAGCCTCGTCTTGGGAAGCTGCTCTGGCAGCATGAGCTGCACTGGGCAGGGTGTTCGTTCAAAAAGCAGAGTGGCTCCTGCAGGACACTGGAAAGTTCTGGAAGGTCTGGGAGCCAAAACGCACGTTGGTCTGCATCTCAGCCCTCGGCCTCCTAGACAGCAGCTGGCGGTGCCCCCTTCCGTCTTTCCCCTGGGAGCCTTCCCTGCAGGGGAGCGGGCCAGTTTGCTAACAGGTGCCTCTGCCAGCCTGGGTTTGCTCACCCATGAAATGGGGGTGCTAATACCTACCTCCCTGGGGGAGACGCTCTGCCTCGCTTGCCTGGTCCCTGGCACGGGGCCTGGGACCCGGTGGCTGCTGCATGAGGAGGTGTTGCGTGAACAAGGTCAGTGCGGTTTATAAAGCCACGCCCCCACAGCGCCCTGTTCACAGCACGGCCCTGGAGGCTGGAACGCTGGGGGCTCCCGACTCTGAGGACCCTGCAGCCACCACCTCCCTGCCTCCTTCCAAGTCCAGAAAAGCCACGTCCAGGGTCAGCAGGGAGTCAGCTGTACACAAAGAGGACTTGAACTTGATCCCCAGCTCACTGGTCTGGGCCACCTGCGGAAGGGTGACATCAGTGTCCCTCTCGTGCCAGGACCCTCCTCCCCACCCGGTTGAGGGCGTGCCAGGAATGTGCTTACTCGCACCTGTTCCCACCTCAGTCCAAGGCATGCTCCGAGTGAGAGGAGCCCACTTGGGGACCCTGAACCAGCACGTCACCCTGTGTGAGGCTCCCAGGGGTCTTCCTGGCAACACTCTGGCCCCACCCCGGGAGTCTCTAACTCCCTGAGGGCATGAGCCAGTAGCCCAAGGCACCTCTGATCGTCATCTTGGGGGTGCTCATGGCATCCAGCAGGCAGAAGCCCAGGACGTGGCTAAACACCACACAGTGGCCAGGGCAGTCCCCACGTGGCTCACAATGCCTGGAGCCCACCATGGCTGCTAGTGCAGGTGCCTCAGCCAGAGGGGCGCCATGGGACAGGTGAGCAAACGGCACTCAAAGGGCTGTGTAACCTGCCCAGAGACACTTGCTCTGTGCAGAGGGTGGAGCCCAGCACTGTCTGATAGCAAACCTGCTCTCTGTCCTCAGCCCCCACGGAGCTGTCTGCACCACAGGCTGGGGGCGCTGGAAGCCCTTTCCCCAAGAGAGGCGATGAGGGGGGCCCTGCGCAGCACTGGACACATGGGCACCCTCCCGAGGAGAGGCTCGGGAGGCAGGGTCCCCCCCAGAGTGAGACCCCTGGTCCTTGGAGATGGGATGTAGACCCCTGGGTGTTCTGGGGGAGACAGACAGACGCACGCCCCTGTGCCGCATCCACACACCAGGAGAGGGTGGGAAAGCAGTTAGGGGGCGCTGCACCTGTCGGTTTTCAAACCACGAGCTTCAAATCAGGCCCCAGGCAGGGAGCACCCCACTTCTGCTAACACCACCTGTGGGACCTTGGGGGCGTGACGTCACCTCTCTGAACAGAGGCCCCAGATCTGTCCAGTGGAGATCATGCCCCCAACCCTGAAAGACTGGGAGGGTCGCGACCTCCCCGACTGCCCCCCGGGAGCTGGGAGCCCCCAGGCCTGGTGCACGGGCTGAGGCTCTCCAGCGGCAGGGAACGTGGAGGTAGGGGCTGGAGAAGGTGACCTCAGCAAGGCTGTCCCTTGACAACCGCTCACCTGTGTCTCCTGTCTCCAGAGATCTCCCTGGACGTGGACGCGGATCGGGACGGCGTGGTGGAGAAGAACAACCCACAGAAGGTACCAGCTCCCTGAACAGGGGGCTCCCGAGGGCAGAGCCGCACGCTCCACGCTCCAGACAGCCACGGTCCTCCCCACCAGGGGCAGACAACTCCATTGCTCAGAGCGGGAGACTGAGGCTCCCAGACACACAGCACACCAGGCTCCCGAGGGACAGCTGCAGAGCGGGACCCGAGCCTCAGTCTCCCCAGCCACAGCGTGGGCACCCCCAGTCCACGGAGCCGCTGGAGAGAATGGGAGTGCCCGGGACACAGCACGTGCAGCGGGGGCGTCTTCTCGTTTAAAGCTGACGGGCGGGGGAGGTGGCGTTCACTGCTCCCCTCTCCTGGTTCTGCTCATTCATTCATTCACCCTGCTCATTCATTCATTCCTTGGTGTGTTCACGATGCATTTGCTTTCTCGCCTCATGCCTGCTCCATCCCCTTCTGCTCCCTGGCTGAGGCCCCTTGTCTTGTCTTCCCCGCCCTTGTGGTCCCCGCATGCATGCGGCTTCCGTTTGTGCACAGAGCGTGATGTTCTTGCTCTCCGCTCCGCCGGGTCCTTGGGCCCCGTCAGTGTTGCTCCACGTCCCCCAGGGCCGTTGACTCTGTTTCTGATTTTCTGCCTTTTTGCGTGATCTGCATTTTTTGCTGTGGGCATTTGTGACTTTGAGAATCATCGCCGGAATTTAGACTAAATTAGAAATAGACGAGACTTTAGGCAGTCAAGTAAATGCAGCCTGGAGGGAGCCTGGCCCTTGACTCTCTGCGGGTCATGTGGTGGGACCCCAGGCCAGTGGGGGAGCCCCTCCTCCAGCTGCCCCACGGGGCTCCCTGTTGGCCCCGGGTCAGCCCTGCACACCCCTGACAGTGGGCTCCATGGAAGCCCAGCCCAGCTTCCCCCAGAGGCTCTGCAACCTTGGCAGAGACCCCAGCCCTGTGGACTTGAACTTGGCCAGCTCTTCTGTACCTGGTCCGTGAACGTGTGCTGGGCATCTTAGATTTCCCAGGCCTAGCTCGGGCCCGGGGCGTGCAGAGACAACAAGCAGCTGCCCTTAGGGAACCCTGAGTCCAGCGAGGGAGACCCACGTCCAAGGAAGAATGACACAGGTGGCCGTGTGGGCACGACTGTCCCGCATGCTCCCAAAAGGGTGTTTAAGGTACCAAGTGTAGCTCTAGTCAACAACCAGAAGGGCTTCCTGGAAGAAGAGGCAGTTATGCTGAGATGGGAAGGGAGAATAGAGAGAAGGGATGGTGGGCGAGAGGGCGGGACCAGCACCGGCAAAGGCCCCGGAGCTTGGGATCTGGGGGCAGAAAGGCTGCGGCTGTGGGTGGGGCACAGGGAGTGAGGGGCCAGGGGGGGAACTGGGTCGAGAGGCAAGCGGACCCTCAAGGAAGCAGGGAGCCTCTGGTGGACTCGGCAGGGGAGCGGCCTGGCCAGAGCTCCCTCCCCCAGCCCTCTGGCTGCAGGGTAGAAGTAGCCAGCAAAGCGCTCACGCTCAGAGCTCGTCTAGAACCCCTGGGGACATCAGTGCCTGTCCTCTGCTACTCCTTGCTCTGGCCACCCGCCCTCTGCCTCCCTGCCTCCACCCCCACCCCCGGGCAGGCACACGAGGCCCACACACGCCCTGGCCAGCCTTCCCCTCTCTGCGTCTCTCCTGAACTTGCCTTTGATGCCCAGGTTGGCCTTCTGTGGGCATCAGACGTGGGGATCGTTGGCAGGTCACATGGCCCCACTGGGCGGTGGCCGCCTTTCCCTCCGCCCTGGTGCTGTCTCTCCAGCGTCCTGTGGGGTCCGTGTGGGCACAGGGGAGGAAGCCCTGACCTCTCTGCCTACCGCTGCAGGCGTCCTGGACATGGGGCCCCGAAGGCCAGGGGGCCATCCTGCTGGTGAACTGTGACCGCGACACACCCTGGCTGCCCAAGGAGGACTGCAGCGACGAGAAAGTGTACAGCAAGGAAGGTGGGCGGAGCAAGGCCCCGGGGGGTGTGGCCAGGGGGCGGGGCAGGCGTGGACCTGGGTCTCCTGGGGACTTTTGGCTCAAACACCCACTCAGCCACCAAGCAGAAGACAAAAGCATGGGTTCCACTCCCCATCAGAGCCTTGCTGTTTTTCAGCCAATTCATTCTCAAATTTTTAACATTGCAGAACGAAAGGGAACCGTATTAGCATTCCGCTCTGAAAATTTCTCGCTGGCACACAGAAATAAAATTCATGAGCCATAAAAAAAAATGTAAAAAAAAGACAAAACTAAAAACAGTGGAAAGCTTATAAAACAAGACAGGGCTCCCAGCATGAACTGCTAAACAGGAAGTGGAATTTGTAAATTCTTAGTGGCCAGTAAAGCGTAACCCGAATACACATGCATTATGTAGACCCTGGGATCACTGGCCAGAAACAACCGCAGTGGATCATGGGAAACAGGAGAACAGGGCCCCGAGCGAACCCACGCCATTCTGGCTGCGTCCTCTGCCCTTCTCAGAGGACAGCCTGGCATTGATTAGCCCCTGGGCCAGACCAGCACTGGTCGCAGAGCCTTCCGCCAGGCCGGCAGCTTGGAGCCGGGCCCCAGCACCTGCCAGACCTTAATAATGTTGGTGCCCTGGCGCCTGGTTATGCACAAAGCCATGTTTTTGCAAAATGTGACACACCTGGGGAGAGAAAGGAATAGGAAGGCCATTCCCACACGGTCGGGAGCCGGTCTCTGCTGCCAGGGGTGACAGCCAGGTGGCATTCTCCCTGTGGGTTCTCTGGAGCGCGTATGCACGCAGGTGTTACAAAAGCAAACAGCGGCGGCGGGCCCCTAACCTCCTCCACGCGTGTCTGCCCCCCAGACCTCAAGGACATGTCCCAGATGATCCTGCGCACCAAAGGCCCTGACCGCCTGCCCGCCGGCTACGAGATGGTCCTCTACATTTCCGTGTCGGACTCTGACAAAGTGGGCGTGTTCTACGTGGAGAGTGAGTGAGCCTGGCTCGGCCCTCTGGGGCCTCCCCCTTCCTCTGCTGCAGGTGCACCGGGATGACTGGGGATCACTGGTGTCCCACAGCAGGGAGGAGACCCCCAGGGGTACGTTCCGCCCCACCCCGCCCCATCCCAGGGTCCAGGGGAAGCAAGGCTTTGACATCCCCCTTGCCTGAGTCATGCCCCCTCTGTGATGCCCAAGGCAAGGAAAGCCCCACCTGCCCCATCCGAAGATGCTGTGGTTCCCTCGGGGCGTTGACCCCTTGTTCTCCCGATGGTGAGAGGGTGCCCTGGGCCCCCGCAGCCCAGGGATCATGCTCCCACCAGGAGCTAGTCCTTGACACTGCCTGCCCTGTCTCGTTCTTCCCACGAATGCATGGTGAGTGCCTGGGCGCCAGCTCCCTGCAGGAACAGGGCAGTCGCACGCTGCTCCCCGGGAGGGAGCCCAGCGAGGGAGACAGAACCCATAGCACAGCTGGAGGCAATGAGATGGACCCAGAGGCACTGCTAGCTGGGTAGTCCAAAGAGGCTGCCTGGAGGAGGTGACAAGGAGAGCTGAAACACAGACGAACAGCCATTTCGGGGCTGAGGGAAGAGGGTTCCAGGCAGAGGGAGGTGGAGGGGGGAGCCGGTCTGGAGTGGAGGGGGTGGGGAGGGAGCACCGAGACTCAAGGTCATGGAGCTAGGCCAGGGGCCAGGGCGTACAGACAGGGTTTATTCTGAGCCATGAAAGCCATTAGCGTCTTAAGCAGGGACTGTCAGGTCTGATTTATGCCTTTCACAGCTCCCTCAGTGAAACAGCTCAGCAGTTTGTCCTGGCGCAGGTGCAGGGGGCTGGGGGGGCCCGGACAGGCCCACTGGAACCAGGCAGTCCCCAGAGGGGGCCCTGGACCCTCATCTCCAAGACTGACTTGGCCAGGACAGCAGTGGACAGGGACCCTCCTCTGAACCGCCCTGGGCCCCGGGCAGTGACCTCAGGCAGGCTGGAATGTCCTCAGGGGGCTGGAGGTGTTGATATTTACACCGGGCCAGCTGTTGCCAGCGTTGCCATGGCAGCGGGGACACCGGCAGGAACTAGGGGGTTGCAGGCAGGACCTCGCCCGGGCCTTCTGCCTCAGCCCCATTGCTGAGAGCGGCGGCCCGGGTCCGGGCATTAATGCAGTGGACTCAGCTCCCCTCCCCCGGGCCCTGGGCTGCAGGAGGAAGGAGGAACCAGGGCTGAGAGACGGTCCCCAGGGTCTGCTTATCAGGGCTGCTGGGGAGCGGCTGTTATTGATACAGAGATAACCCAGAATGTGACCCCTTGGCCGGGTTCTCCGAGACAGACAGACACACGCACGCACACACATGCACACGCACATGGAGGAGAGGGAGGATTTGAATTTCCTCTGTGGCCCAGGTTCCTTCTCTTCCATGCAGACACTTTGAGATGCGCAGCCTGGGGATGAGAACGCATTGTGTTACACCCGTGTCGTGCCGTCACATGCGATGTGGCGGAGACAGAGCAGCTGTCCCTGGGGGAGGGGCCTGAGCTGCAGACAGGGACAGAGAGGCAGGTTCGAGTCCTGGGTCCAGGCCAGTCTCCTCTCCAACCCCAGCCCCGGCCCGGGGGCCTCATGTTGGGAGGACCTTGGCAGTGGTGGGTGCTGCGTGTGTTGGGATCGTGGTGGCGTGGACCGTGACCGTGGCGGTGGAGGACAGCGGTCTCCAGGGCCTTCAGAAAGGCCTGGGGACTGTGCTGCAGCTCAGGCTCTACCCAGAAGCGAGAAGCCGGGGCCTTAGCTCTTCCTACAGGACAAGGCGAGTGGTTTGTGTAGCACGGTGGGCCCCAGCCTTGTCAGCGCTGGCAGGGAGAGCTGGCCATGCCCAAGCTGGGGACAGGGGATGGAGGGAGGAGGTGGAGGAGACTTCCGGGGACAGTGGCTGCATTGTTCCCACCGAAGAATCAACCCTCGTGGAGCTGGCCCCGACTGCCAGCCAGAGGCCCCGGACAGAGCCCCTTTGTGAGTCACAGGGCTCCGGCCACAGGAGAACGGAGGGGCTGGGGGCAGGCGGACTAGAAGGTGTCTTCCCACCTGACACCTGCCTGGGCCAGGTCCCCTCCTGCTCCCGCCCCAGCACTCGCAGCCGCTGCGAGCTGTGCCCATGGAGACGGCCTCTGGGCCTGATGCCCCTCCCTGAGCTTGGGTTCCAGTGCTGCCCGGCGCATGTGGGCGTGGGGCCCCAGGGCCGTGGAGGACGGCTCGGTCACTGTAGGCAGCTCCATCTGCATCCGCGCAGGCCACCCTGGCTGGGAAGGCCCTCGCCTTCTCTGTCCAGCCGCGGCAAGTTCCCGAGGCCACCCCGTGTCTGAGACCGTCCACCTCATTTCTTGGACCCATTGAAGGGAAGGTGAAGGGAGAGTTTCTTTAAAAAAAATAGTATTTATTTATTTGAAAAGCAGAGAGAGAGAGAGAGAGAGAGAGAGAGATATCTTCTACCTGCTGGTTCATTCCCCTGATGACAGCAATGGACAGGGCTGGGCCAAACTGAAGCCTGGAGCCAGGAGCTTCTTCTGTGTTTCTCACACAGGTGCAGGGGCCCAAGCACTTGGGCCATCTTCCACTGCTTTCCCAGGTGCATTAGCAGGGGGCTGGATCGGAAGTGGGGCAGCCGGGACTCAAACCAGCACACTGGAATGAGATGCCGGCGACGCAGGCAGCGGCTTAACCCACTGCGTCACAGCCCCGGCCCCAGAGTTTCCTTGCCTTCTGTCCAGGGCGGGTCAGTGGGGAGGGGCGAGCGCCACAGTCAGGGACGTGCTGACCCAGTCCTAAGTTCCGATCGAGCCGCTGGCCCCACACGTGACTGACGAGTACTCGTGGTGAGCGCGGTTCCCCCACGTGCTGATGCTGTCACTTGCGGTCACCCTGTGGCACGGGTAGTATGAGCCCCCATTTAACAGATGAGTAAGCTGAGGCTCGGGGAAGTTAAATGAGTTTCCTGAGGTTGCACGCCTTAGCAAGCCAGAGCAGTGCTTGAACCAAGGCCGCTCTGACCTTGGAAACCAGAATCTGCCCTTAGAGGCTTGTGGGGAAATGGGGCCAAAAGGTAAGTTCATTGTGGTGAAAACAAGAGTTTGGAATCCGTACCTGGGTTTTCCACGAGCTTGCTGGAGCCCCCTGGCCTGAGCCGCGGTCCTCCGGGAGGCGCCACCCCAAGCCCGGGCGGCCCAGGTGAGCCCGCTCCTTTCCCGAGTTTTCAGCGCGCGCCCTGTTGGTCCTAACCCTTGGGCCAGCGGTCACTAAGCGCGGCCCATCACTGTGCGGAAGCAGCAGGCTGAGCCCAACTCTGCCCTCCAGCTCTGCTGGGACTGCCCAAGGCCCTGTCGCCACGGCTTTACCAACACAAGTACGCCTCCTGCTCCCGCGCCCACGCTGGCGCCCGCAGGATCTCACCGACTGCCTCCCCCCGCTGACGCCCCCTCCTCCCACCCCCAGTAACCAGACAAGACCTCCCGGCCGCCTGTGCGTCCCCTCCACCTCACTGTCGCCTGAGCGCCGTTCTTGGAGACGGAGGCTGCACTTGGACCCTTGGACCGCCTGCTCCTCCCCCACACGCCCTTGCCCTTGGCGGTCCCAGAGCCGTGAGCCCAGCCACGTGCTGTGCATCCCCACCGGCTCGGCCTGTCCAGCAGGGCGCTGCTGGCTCCGTCAGTGGTCACTTATTAAACACGGCCACGTGGCAGGCAGGCATGGTCCCAGCTGGGTCACACGCATGCGCAAAGCATGTGGTGGGGCAGGGCGGGGCAGTGGGAGCTCCAATCCCAGCCTCTGTAGGGGTCTGAGCCGGACGCCCACCAGTGACAAACCAAGACCCAAAGAAAGGTGGCCGAAGGCGTCCGAGAGCGGGCCTGTGCCCAGCTGGGAGTCCCCAGTCCCTGTCCCTGCCCTCCCCCAGCCATGAACCTGCGTGTCTGCCCACGTGGTCTCCATTACATGAAGGGAATTGGGGGTACAAATGGGCACATCCGTGTTTTGTTTATATGAAGGCAGTGAGAGTCGGCGTGCATTCGAGCCCCAGCCCAGCTATTGAATGGCTTCGTGATCTTGGACAAAGCCCTTTTTCCCTTCTGAGCCTCAGTTTCCTCATCTGTGAAATGGGCACGATCTGGGCACGGTGCTTCCCCGCGCAGTCACCACGCGCTCGCGTTTCTCGTGTGCTGTGCACGAGAGAGCAAGCTCCCTGCCCAGGCGAGAATGCCGACAGCCAGGTGCCTGGCTGGGCGCCGCGTAGCAGTGCCGGGGCGCTGGTGGCCGTGGCCGTGGCCGCTTTCTGCTTGTGCTTTCCCCTCTGCATCCAGAGGACACTCTGCCCCCTCGTCGCCGTCGGCAGTCGCGCCCCGCTGACTTCCTGACGGGGCTGGGGGCGGGCGGGGCTGACGCGGGCCTCTCCGTGGCAGACCCGTTCTTCGGCCAGCGCTACATCCACATCCTGGGCCGGCGGAAGCTGTACCACGTGGTCAAGTACACGGGCGGCTCGGCCGAGCTGCTGTTCTTCGTGGAGGGCCTGCGTTTCCCGGACGAGGGCTTCTCGGGCCTGGTGTCCATCCACGTCAGCCTGCTGGAGTACATGGCCGAGGTGAGGGCCCCGGAGCCCACGCTGTCTGCGCCCAGCTCCCCTCAAAGTGCCGGGGGGGAGGGTCCAGGCTTGGCGGCCCCCACAGCCCACGCAGCGTGCCGGGTCCTCAGCACTGCTACACCTGCTCTCCAGAAACCCACCGTGGGCGCTGTTTTCTGACCCTCCTCCCTGCACTGCTGGCAGTCAGGAGACCCAGAGGCCCCCAGTGGTTAGCACAGGACTCTGCTAGGTCACACGGGTGAGGTTGAGTGACCTCCCGCCGTGTACCCGAGCGGTGGGCGAGCCCAGCTCAGACGTCAGGCTGAACCCCCAGTCCCAGTGTCCGGCGGGGTCCTGCCCTGTGGCTGCTGTCTCAGCCAGCCATGCTGTTGCTCTGGGACGCCCCCTCCCTCCAGAGCAGCCCCCTGGCTTGGAGTGTGTCCTGCTGACAGCACAAAGGCCCTGCCCCCCACCCCCGGGCACCCCGGCTTCACTCAGGAAAACGGAGGGACCTGGCCCTGCCCCCCATTTGTGCCCCAGTCCACCTTGGGTCAGTACCACGCGAGTGCAGGGGCCCAAGCACTTGGGCCATCTTCCACTGCTTTCCCAGGCCACAGCAGAGAGCTGGATCAGAAGTGGAGCAGCCAGGACTCGAGCCAGTGCCCGTATAGGATGCCGGCGCCGCAGGCGACGGCTTAACCTGCTGTGCCACAGCACTGGCCCCTCCTGGGGGCTTTCAGGGCAGCTGGGAGTCATACCTCAGTTTACCCCAGATGCCAGGCGAGCTGGCTGAACCATTCCCTAAGCAGAAGAGCACCTGGGCATAGCAGAACCACCCGTGCAAGGCTGAAGTGCTTGTGTCGAGAACGAGGTGCCCCGGGCCAGGCAGGAAGGCCCGGGGCCGGTTCAGGTGTCGCTGGGTGGATGGCCCAGACCTTGGTGGGGCCAGAGCGGACAGCATCTGGGGCTTGGACTCAGCAGCCAGACGGCCTGGGTTTGCAGCCCGGCTCCACCATCCACTGACCGTGTGACCTTGGGCCGTCACGCCACAGTTCTGTGACTCAGTTTCCCTCATCTGTAAAACAAGGATTGGCATAGTCTCTGTCCCCTGGGTTTGCTATAAGGCAGGTGCCTGTGCACATACTCAGCATGGGACCTGGTATACAGCAGGCGCTCAGTGAATGTGTAGTTGCCATCAGCTCCACCCACTTTGGCGGGCAGCAGTGGAAAGCACTCAACATGCCTTTTTTTTTTTTAATGAAGATTTATTTATTTATTTATTTGAAAGGCAGAGAGTTTCATAAAGAGAGAGGGAGACCCAGAGAGAGAGGTCCTCCATCTGCTGGTTCACTTCCCAAATGGCCGCAACGGCTGGAACTGAGCCGATCCGAGCTGATCCGAAACCAGGAGCTTCTTCTGGGTCTCCCACGTGGGTGCAGGGCCCGAGCACTTGGGCCATCTTCTGCTGCTGTCCCATTGGCAGGGAGCTGGATTGGAAGTGGAGCAGCCAGGACTTGAACTGGCGCCCCTATGAGATGCCGGCTCTGCAGACAGCAGTTTTATCGGCTGCTCCCCGGCGCCGGCCCCGTGTGGCTTTTTGACCCCCCCCTTCTCTCTGACACCCAGGAGGTCCCGCTGACACCCATCTTCACGGACACCGTGACATTCCGGATTGCTCCGTGGATCATGACCCCCAACATCCTGCCTCCCGTGTCGGTGTTTGTGTGCTGGTGAGCGATGTCCCCAAGGGCGGGGCCGTGGGGACAGTCAGGCCTGAATTGGCTCCGGGCTCCATCAGTTAGCTGCTGTGTGTTCTGGAGTGACTCACTTGGCCTCTCTGTGCCCAGTGGCTCAGAATCACTGTGAGGACTGCGTGAGATGAAGCCGCTCCAACATTTATCCTGGCACCGGCTGTGCCCTAAAAACACACACTCTCGTTTCTTTATTTTTTAAAAAAAGAGTTACAGATAGAGAGAAGGAGAGACAGAGAGAGAGAGAGGTCTTCCATCCACTGGTTCCCTCCCCAATGGCCACAACGGCCAGAGCTGAGCTGATCTGAAGCCAGGAGCCAGGAGCTTCCTCTAGGTCTCCCACATGGGTGCAGGGGCCCAAGAACTTGGGCCATCTTCCACTGCTTTCCCGGGCCACAGCAGAGAGCTGGACCAGAAGTAGAGCAGCCGGGACTCGAACCGGCGCCTAATATGGGATGCCGGCGCTGCAGGGAACATCTTACACCACTACGCCACAGCGCCCCCTCCACAGTGTTCCTTAGCTTGTTCATGGTCCTGAACCGAGTAGCCGGGAGCCTGCCAGGCCGGGGGTACCCAGCACATCTCCCCCAGTAAGAGAATTTTTGTTGAGCACATACGGTGTGCTGGGTCAGCCATGGCAAGATGAGGACCAAGTGCCTTGGGGGATGGGCGGCAGCCCTGGGAGGGGCCCCGAGGTCCTCACCCCCCTCCGCCTCTCCCCAACTCCCAGCATGAAGGACAATTACCTGTTCCTGAAGGAGGTGAAGAACCTGGTAGAGAAGACCAACTGCGAGCTCAAGGTGTGCTTCCAGTACATGAACCGCGGCGACCGCTGGATCCAGGTGGGGAGCCCGAGCCGGGCGGGCAGGGCCGGGCGGGAGGAGGGGCTTAACGTAAGCCCTGGCACCCAGCAGCTCCGTGGGCGAGAAGCCTCGCCTCCCTGCCACCCTTAGAAGGGCATAGCAGGTGCACTGCCGACAGCAACACAGCCCAGTGGCCGCCCGGGGGCACCGGGTGTCAGCCTTAACCGGGGGATGGCAGGCAGCTGCAAACAATGGAGCCCCTAACTCTGTGATTACGGGGGCAGAGTGCGCTTCCAACGAAGCTGCCACTCCTAGCAGAAAGCGTTCAGATAGGGCCGCATCGTGGTCTTAAAACCGGGGATGGGTTGGCAAGGAGATGCTAAGTGTAACGGGGAGACTGCCCCGGGCGATGCACCGCCGTGGTTGCCTGGGGAGGAGAACGGGGCCAGGAGCCAGGGAGCGCGGGCCTGACGTCTCTCTCCTCCTGTGCACCTTGCGCCGCTTGCCACTCGCGCCAGTCGCCTGTTTCTTCCCCAGCCCTGTGTCCCCTCCTCCCCCAGGCTCACCTGACACTCCCCCCCCACTGTTCCTACAGGATGAAATTGAATTTGGCTACATCGAGGCCCCCCACAAAGGCTTCCCGGTGGTGCTGGACTCCCCCCGAGACGGCAACCTGAAGGACTTCCCCATAAAGCAGCTCCTGGTGCGAGGTGGAGGGCCCCCTGGGGGTGATGTCGGGGCCCCTAGGACACAGCGGTCAGGAAAGCGTGGGCACCCTTGACAAGTTAGTCTGTTTGCCCGGGCCTTGGTTTCCTAATCTCTGAAATGGGCCCATTGGGATCGTGACCTCTAAGGCCCTCTCCTACTCTGAAAGCTGATGTTTCTCCAAAACGCGGAGTTTTCTCGTGGGGAACGGGAACTGTGGGAGACACGGCAAGACCCAGCCCCAGAGGCCCCGAAACAGGTGTCCCCCCCGACCCCAGGGGCAGCTGGGGCCTCCCCGGGTGGCTCTGAGACCCCGCCCCCCGGCTCCACTCAGAGGCCAGCCCTCGCCAGGCTCGCACCGCGGTCTGAGGACGTTAACCCAGACCCTTCATTGCGGCGAAGCCAACAGCATAAATTGAATCAGACCAAACCTTGTGTCCTGATCCCATCCCTTAGCGGCAACAGAACCTCCTAAGTGAGCAGCTTCACCTCCGCGAGCCTCCATTTGCCCATCTGTAAAGTGGGGACAGAAACAGGGTCAGCGTCCCAGGGTGGCCGTGACCATCAAGGGCACCGGTCACCTGACATAGTGCAGGCACCACTCGCTGCTGTCATGGTGCCGGTGAGTGTCCTTGGCGAGCTGGTCGGCCGCGGCCCCCAGCCCCGAGCGGGACGTGCCGCAGGCGTGAGAACCCAGACCTTCCAGGGTTCGCCTCTGTCTCTTCCCTGGGCCGCCACCTGCCACCAGCACGCCAGGCTGGCCTGGTTCCAAGGTCACAGCTGCGTGGCATTGTTCTGAGGCCCAGGCCAGGGCCGGCCCTGTGCTGGGTGCCTGCCCACCTGTGTCTGAACGGCCACTGCTGCTCAGCCAGCCGCGGCCCCGGGGTGAGAAAGCGCTAAGCCGCAGCCGCCCGCCCCACCGGGCACAGCAGGCCATCCCGGAGCCTGTCAGCCGGGCCAGCACGAGCCGTACCCGCTGGCTCCAAGGGCTTTTTTAACGGGGACTTTTGTCCAGCAAGCTTAGTCCTGGCCCTGTGCAAGCTCCCTAACCAGACTCCTACAACCTCACCCAAAAAGGAACCTGAAAGTGCAGGCGGCCGGCGTTGGCGCCGTCACAGCGCGTTGGAGCTCTGTGCTAAGGAGGGTTCTGGGGCCGCTGCCGGGCCCCCCGCCTGACCGCTGGGCGCTCTCTGCGGCTCTGCTGCCCCGTGCCCGCCTCTTTCCAGAGCTCAGGCGACAGGAGCAACCCCGGGCTGCCAGGGCCGCGCTCCCGGCACAGGGAGAGGAAGGGGACTTGGCGGCCGCTCTCGGGGGCTCCCACGGCCTCTGCTCTTAGCTGGCCAAGGCCAGCCGCGTGACCAAGCCTGGCACCGGGCGGACAAGCGAATTCTTCTTGCAATGGGTCAGGATCAGAAGTCTCTTGTTGGGGACGAGGGGCAGTGAATCTCTGGGGGTGACAATGCAGGCTGCTGCCCTGCCCCTGGTAATCCTGGTCCCCCGGCCCCACCCCGGTCAGCCCTCCCAGGAGGCTCTGCGGCCATCACACCAGGCCGAAGGTGGCCAAGGAGTGGTCACAGGAGGGTGGCCTCTGGGGGCCCAGGACTCCTGGCTGCAGGGGACCAATGGCAGGTGTGCGCCCTCTGCCCAGGGCCCGGATTTCGGCTATGTGACCCGAGAGCCTGTCTTCGAGACCGTCACCAGTCTGGACTCCTTTGGGAACCTGGAGGTCAGCCCGCCAGTGACCGTGAATGGCAAGACGTACCCCCTCGGCCGGATCCTCATCGGGAGCAGCTTCCCTCTGTAAGAGAAGCCCGGGGGCTGGGGGAGGCGGGAGCGGGGAGGCTGCCGTTTCTCTGTGGGGTGGCCTGGGTCACTCGCACACCGAGTGAGTGGCTGGGAGAACGACCCCTCCCACAGCTCTTCAATACACAGATGCCCTCGGAGGGAGAAAACAAGGCAGCCTTTACACCTTAGTGTGAATTAGGATCTAATTCCCCAAATGGCAGGGTGTATGCTGAGATTATAAACCGGGTGAAGGGGTGGCGGAGGAGGACGCGAGGGAGTCCTCGGGGAGCCCATGCTCGGAAGAGACTTGAGAAGACATGGCCCCGCCCCAGCAGCCTGAGTCCCTGGATCCCTTGGCCTGTCCACGCTGTCCCCACTCCCTGCCCGATTAGGCCACCGGCCAAAGAAAAGTCAGATTCTTCCTGGGTCAAGGCAGTGGCTGGGAAGACGGCACCTGTGGTTCTCACATCACAGAAGGGCTGCCAGGAGCCTGCACGTGTGGGGTCAGCCAGGATCTGGGCATCAAGTCCCTCCGAGTCACACAGGATGCTCTGTGTTCAGGATGGCCACAGGCTCGGGCCGCGGTCACCTGCCCTCCTCCTCTCGCTCCACTCAGCTCCCATCAGTTAGTCCCAGACTGTGAACTGTGTCACACCCAGGGTCCCAGCTGTGAAGCCCAACCCCTGGCCTCCAGGACTCAGCAGGGTCCTGGGGTCGCCCTGGTGAGGTCGAGGGGCGGACGGCAAGGGGACGGCTTCTCAGAGACAAGCGTGTAGCAGCTACTCGGTGCCAGCGCTGTCCTCGGCTCTGGGCGCACGGCCGTGACCCGGTCACACAGGCCCCAGCTCCCAGGGAGCTCACGCGGGGCCGGGGGGTAGGGGAGTAGGAGAGGCAGCTGTGGCCGCTGAGCGGGACTCCCTGGGGCCGGAGGACCTCAGCTGCTGTGGTCTCGAGGCAGTGACTTGGGAGTGGAAGCTGGACGCTGAGAAGGAGGCAGCCCCTGGAAGACCTGGGGAAAGATCTGGAACACGGGGCATGGTGAGGGCAAGGCCCTGGGTGGGGCTGCAGCGGACAGAACAAGGAGGGAGGGAGGTGCAAGACGGGCGGACTGGCCAGGGCTCGGATCAGAGGGGACAGTCGTGGCCACCGTAAGGTCCCTAGGTTGTATTCTGAAGTCAGCGGGGAGATCTGAGGCCTCGAGCGGTCTAGAAGTCAGGAGGGCCTCCCTGGAGGAGGTGGCCCTTGAACTGACTGAAGTGAAGAGAAGCTAACGTAGTAAAGAAGCACATGGGTTGGCGGGGGGGCTGGAGCCATCTCTGTACCCCAGTTCCCCCCAGCAGCCAGGCGGACTCGAGCAGGCAATTGGCGCAGAGGGTAAGACCCGCCTTGGGATGCCCGCAGCCCACACCAGAGGGCCTGGGTTCGAGTCCCGGCTCTGCTCCTGACTCCAGCTTCCTGCTAAGGCGCACCCTGGAAGCAGTGGGGGGTGACTCGAGTACCTGAGACCCCAGTAGAGCCCCCCAGCCACTGCCCTTGTGGGTGTTTGAGGAATGAACCAGTGGATGCCTTTGTCTCTGGTGTGTGTGTCTGTCTGTGTCTCCCATAAACAAATAAACAGAAGCTGGCCGCCCCCTCCCCCGGCATCCTCAGGCTGGGAGCGAGGCTCTGCGCCTGTCAGCGGCTGTGACTGTGGCTGATGCGCTCCTTCGACCTCTTGGCCAAAAGCTGCCCTCCCTGTGCCGGGGTCTCTCAGTCCCGGGACTCGGGCTCCTTCCCGGGACTTCTCTGCCGAGGCCGCCAAGGCTCGGGCCGGGCTCTGGCTGACCCCTGCGGCAGGGCCTCTGTGAGGCCGGCTCCTGGGCAGTTTCTGAAGGGCTGTCCCCCGTCCACGCCTGCTCCAGGTCTGGCGGCCGGAGGATGACCAAGGTGGTGCGCGACTTCCTGCAGGCCCAGCAGGTGCAGGCGCCCGTGGAGCTGTACTCAGACTGGCTGACCGTGGGCCACGTGGACGAGTTCATGACCTTCGTCCCCATCCCGGGCACCACGGTGAGCAAACTCCTGAGGCTAAAGTCAGAGTGGCAAACCCATGTACTACCAGCCTTTGCCAGCAGAGGGCAGGGTCTAGGGACACGGACAGAGGAAGGAGGAGGTAGGCTGAAGCTGGTTTGCACGTGGTCACTGTGGCAGGTGCATTCGTGAACCAATAAACAGAAAACATCAGCATTTCCACATGGAAAATTATTCATTCTTAAAAATCGGGGGCATATTTTACTCCTGACGCACATCTGATCCCGACGGGCCGAGTTCAGTGTCCAGTCGTGGCACGGTGCTAGCGGCCCCTGCATTGGCCTTACGCTGTGGACAGCAATGGGGTGTGGGCCTCCAGCTCCAGACAGGGGCTCTTCTCTTCCGTGAAGTCAAAACTGTGCCTGCGCACCCTGGAAATTCCATACAAATGCCCTGGCCTCTGAGCCCCGTGGGAAGTTCTTTGCAGTGCCAGCCGTGGCTAGTGAGCTTTGACCAATGGTGTGGGAGGCTCGAGGCCCCGTGCAGACAGGGCTCCGGGTCCTCGGGGCGGGAGGGCCCACTTGTCCTGGCCACCGCCCCGTGCTGACGCTGTCCCCCGGGGCCTGTCTCTCACAGCAATTCCGGTTGCTCATGGCCAGCACCGCAGCCTGCTACAAGCTGTTCCGGGAGAAGCAGAAGGAGGGCCATGGGGAGGCCATCTTGTTCAAAGGTGAGTGGCCCCAGGCCTTTGCAGGGAACTGGAGCCCCAGAGGCCCTCAGGAGCGCGGGGCAGATGAGCCCTTTGGCCGTGAAACTCCATTTGCCTGGGCATCTGGCGCACCCTGGGGTTTGTGGGGCCACCCTGGGACCCTTGCCGTGGCCAGGCAGACCCCCGAGCTGCCCTCTGCTCCCTCATGTCACCAACAGTGCCGAGCGCTAGTGGGCACCAGACTCGGCCCCAGACCCGAGCAGGGCTGCCCACTCCCACGCTGGCCTACAAGCTGCAACCTAGGAGCCACGTCCCAGGAACGGGGCCGGAGAGAGAAATCGACAAAGTACAGTTCGGGCTCGGGGAGGGAGGTGGCCTTCGACAGACGCGGTCGCTGGTCAGGCCTCGCTGCTGTCAGCCCTGCCGTGGGAAGCCACCCGCTTCATTCAGACGTCCACGTGGTGGGGCCGGACGTGGGCTGGGGTGCGGCGCGCACTTAAGTGAGTCAGGGGAGGACGAAAGCAGAGGAGGTGGAGACGGCCGGCAGGTGGGAGGCCGCCAGGACTTCCGCTGTGGTTCTTAGCGTGCCGAAACAGACGTAGGCATCGTTTGGGCCGTGGGTGAGTACATAAGCCAGGGCTGTTAATGCAACGCCGAATAACCATCACCTCTGTTTATATCATCACCCTTTTTCCCCCTAAATTAGTTCCGCCCCTTGCAGGCTGGTATCCCCAGGGGATCTCACTCCCAAAGCCTTGTTCCCAGGTCTGGGCAAGGCCCTTCCTGCCCTCCATGTCCCAGGAGTGTTCCTGACAGGTGTCAGACGAGACCAACCAGAGAACTCCTCCCTCCGTTACCTCCCCACCGACGGAAGGGTGTTTGCGTGGATCGGCAGGCTTGGGTCTTGGCCTTCTGGAAGCTTTCTTTCTATAGTGAATGTAGCCCAACAGCCACCCCTAGGCTATATGAACCATTATCTTTGTACCAGTAGGGGTGGGGAACTTTTTTCTGCCAAGGGCCATTTGGATATTCATGACATCATTTACCAGGCCATACAAATTTATCCACCTAAAAAGCCTGCTGTAGATTTATGGGACTTCAAGTCTGTCTGCACTTGCCTTGGCAGGGCCAGACCACGTGACATCAGCGGCCTCCTAGGGCCTGCAAGCTGGAAGCTCCCCACCCCAGCAGAGGCAGCCGGGGTTCAGGGCCGAGCAGCTCCAGTCTCTGCCGCTGGCCAGCTACAGGCCTGGAAAGCCCTGCTTCTGCCACACGCACCCTGCTCAGCCTCTCGCCCTGCGGAGCAGGCTCCAGCCGGAGAACCACGTGGCCCGTTGGGCCATCCCCCACCAGCCAGAGGGACAGCAAAGCGGCCACTGCCTCCATCCTGGCTCAGGGCACGCGGCCCGGCCTGCAGGAGGGAGTGTGTGCAGCCTTCCTTGGGCAGAGCCTGCCGACTGCCCCACCCCGCCCCAGCCCCAGTCTGTGCCCAGCCCACCTCCTCCCTCCCAGTCCAGCAGTTAGCACAGGGGCTGTCGGGCCCTGGCAGAGCTGGCACCCAGCCCAGGGATGCACAGCTCACCCTCTCCGTGTCTTCTGCCCCCGACAGGCCTGGGTGGGATGAGCAGCAAGCGAATCACCATCAACAAGGTGCTGTCCAATGAGAGCCTCGCGCAGGAGAACCAGTACTTCCAGGTGAGGGCGGGGCCGGGCGCGCGTCCTCACGCCCTTGGGGCTCCTGCAGAGAATGGCCCAGGGCTCAGGGCTCCTGTCCCGGTGCACATGCGCACAGGGCAGAGCCCCAGCAAGTGTGGCGGCCATGTCCTTGCTATACACCCATGCTAAAGACGGAGGGGAAGAGGGGGCACCGCGGGCAGGTGCCCGGGTCAGCATCGGCCAGGAGCAGATGGCGCCGAGAAGGAAGGCGTTCCCAGCAGTGCCCTAGAGCCAAGGCCTCCGTGAGGCCAGAGCCGCGATGGGGCGGGGGAGTCGCACACCCCTTTTGTTTTTCTTTAGGATGTATTTATTTCTTTGAAGGGCAGAGTTAGAGAGAGGGAGATAGGGAGAGAGATCTTCCATCTGCTGGTTCACTCCCCACATGGCGACAACAAAGCCGGAAGGGCCACCTGCTCTCCCAGGTGCGTTAGCAGGGAACTGGACTGGTGGTTGAGCAACTGGGACTCGAACCAGCACTCGGATGGGATGGTGGCACTGCAGGCGGCAGCTTCACCTGCTGCTCCACGATGCCATCCCCGCGCCCCCTTCAACATACGGTGAAAGCTCCTGACTTGTGTATACGGGGCCAGCGCTGGGGCACAGTGAGCTAAGCCTCCGCCTGCAGCACCTGCATCCCACGTGGGCGCAGGTTTGAGACCCGGCTGCTCCACTTCCAATCCAGCTCCCTGCTAACACACCTGGGAAAGCAGCAGAGGATGGCCCAAGTGCTTGGGCTCCTGCCACCCACAAGGAAGACTGGGAAGAGGCTCCTGGCTTTGGATTGGCTCAGCCCCGGCTGTTGCTGCCATTGGGGGAGTGAACCAGTGGATGGAAGACCTTTCTCTCTGTCCCCCCCATCCCCTTCTCTCTCTCGCTCGCTCTGTCTGTCCCCTTCTCTCTTTCTCTCTCTTGCTCTCTCTGTAATTCTGCCTTTCAAATAAATAAAATAAATCTTTTTTTTTTTTTTTAAAAAGGAACAAAAGATAAATGTCAGCCGGCGCCGTGGCTCAATAGGCTAATCCTCCACCTTGCGGCGCCGGCACACCGGGTTCTAGTCCCGGTCGGGGCACCGGATTCTGTCCCGGTTGCCCCTCTTCCAGGCCAGCTCTCTGCTATGGCCAGGGAGTGCAGTGGAGGATGGCCCAGGTGCTTGGGCCCTGCACCCCATGGGAGACCAGGAAAAGCACCTGGCTCCTGGCTCCTGCCATCGGATCAGCGCGGTGCGCCGGCTACAGCGGCGGCCATTGGAGGGTGAACCAACGGCAAAGGAAGACCTTTCTCTCTCTGTCTCTCTCTCTCACTGTCCACTCTGCCTATCAAAAAAAAAAAAAAAAAAAAAGATAAATGTCACATGCCTTGACCTCTGATTAGTTTTAGGAGACCCCAGATCCCTGAAGTTTTCTGTCTAGGCTTGGATCCCACCTTCCGGTCTCTAAGTCTCAAGGGTTATGGCCAAGAATAGAAACCAGTCCTATTCGTTTCCGTTAAATCTCTATTTATTTGCATGAGCGGATTTTAAGGGACCAAGTTTTGAAAATGAAAAGATCAGGAGGGCTTTGGGACGTGATCTGTGTGAAGTATTTAGAACGGTGCAGGGCACTTGTGGCTGTCACCATCATCAGCATCACCCCACCGGGACTACTGTGGCTCACGGCGGGCCCCGGAGAGCCAGTGGGATCCATGTGGGGAGCACCTAGCACGGGTCAGTGCTCAGCGCTGCTTCTGGAAGCTTCCTCTGCTTTGCTCTCATTATTCCTGCTGCTGTGCCTGAGCCTGGGGGGACGCGGCCCCAGGTGCAAGCTCTGGAGTGCCGAGGCCCCTGGCCTGAGGCTGCAGACATGCAGGGGCGTGGTGGGCGCAGTGCGTGTCCCCTTACCTGCGTGCCCTCCGCCCCTGCCCAGCGCTGCCTGGACTGGAACCGTGACATCCTCAAGAAGGAGCTGGGCCTCACGGAGCAAGACATCATTGACCTGCCCGCTCTGTTCAAGATGGACGAGGGCCGCCAGGCCAGAGCCTTCTTCCCGAACATGGTGAGGCCCTGGGGCCCAGACCCTGTCCTGAGCCGGGGGAGGGGCAGGCAGGCCCACAAGGACCCCTGGGCTGTGGCCATGGGTGCGGAGACCCGGGTGCCAGTCCAGGCGAAGCCCCTGCTGTGTGAGCTCACCCCAGGCCCTCGCACTTCCCTCTTGGGGGTGATTTGCTTGTCCTACCTCCCTGGGATACTGGGGATCCTGCTGCACCCTAACAGTCAGGAAAGTTCTTTGCAAAAACTCTTTATGTATGGGGCGATGTGTTATGGTGGAAGGCAGTCTTCCATCCATAGAAAGAGTTAGACCAACACACACACACACTGATGCATATATATATACTCATGCACACACATGTAAATGCACACCCATGCATACACATGCAGGCCAACATATGTGTGCGTCCATCCACATGTGGACATGCACGCTCTGAGGCAGACCGTTGCCTGCGTG